CTCTAACCATTGTTGATAATTCTGCAATAACTTCATGACGATGCATTTGTATACGAACAGTCGCTGCATATCGTGACGGATGAGCATCCATGGAACCAACAACCTATCATATTTAATTGAGAGTTTAGTAATAAAATATATTCCGAAAAGAAAATTCTTACAGCAGCAATCGATGGTTTTGATCGATCGCCAGCAGGTGGATGTGTTACATCAGCACCAATGAAAATAACTGGTTCACGAAAAACACTAATAGGTCGTACACTTGGTACAAGAATATTATTAACACCACCTAGTTTAACATTGATTTTCAAACACAGATTTGATAATGTTTGCGGTGTTGTTTTATTGACATTTTTTGCTTGTACACATTGTGTTGCCAAACCGATTAATGTATCACCGACACGCTTGACTTCAGCATAAACAGGTGTTTTGCCAGGTAAAACAACAACAATTAATTGTAAACCATTATATGTTGTTTTAAGAAATTTAAACATTGGTTCGACTTGTTCAATACCAGTGGCATATTTGCAAAAACAAGGTTGACCAACAATTGGCATACCAGCATCATTTGATATTCGTTGTAATTGTTGCGTAAATGTTCGAAGTGACGCTTCGTTACAATTACGTTGAGGAGCAAAACATGCAATGGCCCATGTACGAATTTCAATACCCGTATGAAATTGTTTACCACGCATATCCCATACACCTTGGTTTGGTGTAACAATAACTTTTGTCTAATAACAGGAAAAGAAAATTAGTATAAATAAGATGGCAAGAAGAAAAAAAACACATACACGACCACCGTATTGAATTTTAGGTGCTGTTAAAACACGACCTGGTACTTCTGTCATGTTTGTTAGAATATTAATACCAAAATGAGTAACATAGACATCATTGTTAAATTCAGCTTTGCGTACCTAAACAATATTTAATAGAAATAAATAGAACATTGAAGAGAAAAATTCAACTCAAACTCTTTTTATTTATACTTTTTTGATTACCTTATAGTTGAAATACTAAATCGAATTGTAAGGCATTACAGATTTTTGTTACGCTTTATCTTTCGGAATAATATTTCTTTTGTTTGACATGAAACCTCAGTCTATAATTCTAGATGAGAGCATTTTAAATAAAATGCTGGTTATTACAAATAGTAGTCAAATGGACACGTGTAGTTCAGAATAATTAATCACGCTGATGATTGTGGATCAGATTGATCTATATTCTCAGGAAAAAAACTGAATCATTTCGTCGTCTAAAAGCGTTCTGGGCAATGGCTAGCTGATATTCGCAACAGATGCCTAGCAGTATCTTGTAATACTTTCATTAACGCTGGCTCCTAAATCGACACTCCACATTCCAGGAAACTTCAAGCTTTGATTGATATTGTTTGAAACGGAATCTCCAACAGCGATTCACTGTAATTAGACATACAGACATCACGTGTACTTAGCGCTAGCCTACCATACATCCTACAGTAATTATGAGTTTTTAGTACGATGTCACATTCAGCCGTATAAAGATACTTTACTCATTCGATATTACGAAAACAAAAAAAAACTTACCAAATTATTAATTTCTTTTTCTCGATCAGGTGCTGAACGTGCTGTAGCCTAAAAATATATAAGCGACAATCAATTATCAAAAAGAAAAACTTTTCGTAAAACAGTAAATAAAATTATTAAGAAAATAAAAAATTTGCATAACAAAGAAGTTAAGAGAGGCGTGCTAATTGCTGGTTAAAATTACCGGAATGTTTTTCTTAAGATTTTTATTATTAACATTCGTTCCTATCTACGTTATTGTCATTAATACAAAAAAAGGTTTATCAGTAGAAAAGACTTCGCTAAATAAAAATGTTTTCTTTTGGTTTTACATATTCATCCCAAACAAACAGCGGTTATAAATGCGCAAGTGCTCAAATGTTTTTAATACTTCGACAAATACGTCTATTCGCGCGCACAAAATAAAGACACAAGTATCAGTGCACACGTGTGTATTGTTGTGTAAAGTTTGGTTGCTTTTACCTGACGTGAATCTTGTTGACTCTATAATAACATATAGATAGGAACGATCTCATGTTACATGTATATATTGATTTATTTAGAAGTTCATTCAAAAGAAAAAGAAGCATGCTTATCAATAAATAGCACTCTACCTCACTCGACTACAAAAATACACATATATACATTATAGGAAAATGATAAAAACTCTTAGGTACGAAATAAAGATTGTAATTTAACTAAATACCTTAATCATAGTTGATGTTTGCATATCAGTTAATTTTTTTATACAACGTTGACCCGGAACAATATTGCAAACCTAAAAGAATTTAGTTACAATACAATAGATTTATTTCCCTAGTGCCGTACTTCAAGCGGTAAATAAGTATGCTTTTGTTCTTGGCCAACTTGCAAACATGGTAAATGTGGATATTGTAATTTCATACGATGTTTTTCATAGAAATATTTTGCAACAGTACATTCAACAGTTTGACCACTTTCAAGTTGAAGAGGAAACCTGAAACAAAGAAATATTGGAATTGTTTTATGAAATTCTCTTTTTTTTTCGACTCACGTTTGATATTGGGCTGGTTTTCGTGTAACATTACAAACACGATATTTACGTTTCATATTGCCACAATGAGTTATTTCAATTTTAAGACCTAAATTAGTATTGAATTTATAATAGCAAACGTTCTATCTTTATTGATCTATTTTCATTTGTTGACATAAAAATATTTATTAAACTCCTTCTTGAAGAGCATATTTTTTTTCTCTCGATCAGTGTGATTGTGAACAAATGAACTACGGAAATAATGATCCGATAGATGGTGTTCGTAGAGCAAATCCTATTTTCTGGCCTACTTATCTAACATAGAATCCCATCGAGTTTCTCGTCTCATCAATAGTTTTTCTGTGAATATTAAAAGAACGAACATCAACCGTATTGACGGATAATTGCATCAGTGACATCTATATAAGGATGGTAAATCAATTTTCGACTCGGGCTCATCGTTTCGTTGCTGGACAAAATACAAACCTTTTATTTCTTTGGTAAATTTAACTCGTTGTGCATCATTTAATGGACGTCGTTGCTCTTGAATATCTCGAATATCGAGTACTTCACACATAAAATCAATAACAGGTTGTGATTTATAAAAAGCTGTTGCACTAACTAGAAAATTAATATTAAAATAGGATTTTTGATTCATCAGTTAAAGGCAATACTAACCATCAATATTTAATGACATTCGAAAGTATGAGGGTCGAACAGATTGATGAAAACCGAACCATACTTCTCGACCACCACCCAATGGATTATATTGAACATCAGGTGGTGAAAAAAATGAACGACCAACTGGTGTATATCTTAATAAGAAAGAAAAACAAGATTTTTATGGATTGAAATGCTAAATTTTGTTTTCTTTTTTGATAAAATTTAAGTCATTATTGAAGATCGAAAAAACTTACTACTTGTAAGCTTTTACTGTAAAATATAATTCAAATTTTTTTTCGAAGTCGAACTTCATCACATCCTACTTACTTCATGCTTGGTAAATGTCGCATAATGACATCAAGTGCAGAAACAGATTCATTTGGTACTGGTGGACCATTTCCCTGTAAAGCTTCTTGTAAACCAACTAGACTAACTTGTGTGACCCATTTTATTTGTACTTTAAAGCAACGATCTCGTCCTTCACCAGGTCCAGGTAATGTAACTTCAAGTTCGATGCGTTCACGACCAAATGGTAACGGATCTTTCGTATATAAATTTCGTTTACCATCAAATGCTGGATGTTGAGTATTGAATATATTTTGAAATTTATTCACCATCGTATCAATTATTTCACGGTTAACGCGTTTAGGACATTTATCTGGTTGAATATTAAGATCATAGTGTTGAATAATAATAGGTGGAACACGTATACCAAAATGATTTGCACGTAATTTAATAACACGACCTTCACGACCGAAATCTGGTCGTGGTGGAGGAGATAAATCGAGTGGAGGATTAAGCATGGTCATAATACCACTTCCAGGTGGTGTTGATGGCATCGATGACATATGAGGTGGTAGGGGAAGACCCATTGCATTTGATGAGGATGAACCTGATGAACTTGAACTTGTATTAATCATATTTGTACCATTCATAGTGTCATTTCCATGAATAGATGATGATAAAGGAGGTTGCCCAATAGGCTGTAGAAACATTGTGAATAAAATAGTAGATATTGAATTATGAATATATTTGAAGAATAAGATTTGCCAATAAACGCTGAAGCGAGACAAAGTTTTTTAACGACAGAAGGCTCACATTCGAGAAACTATAAAGAAAAGCAAAACAAAATGATGAGTTTAGACTATAACAAAAACAAACAACAACACACATTTGATTATGATGATGGAGGCAGCCAAAACATAAGCACACAAAATATAGAATAGAATACAATGGCCGGAGCCATTAACGACGATCTATGCTCCCCATGTGCATTTTATCTTTGTTTAAGCGGAAAATGTCAAAATGAAAAATATGACTCGAAAAAAATTTTTACAAGTTAAAATGAAAATTTTTTCAATAGTAAAAATTTCAAATCAAAATCAAAATAGGGTGCGGTTTATAGATGGCGCCAGTGTATCTAGACGCTAAATATTGTCAATATTGGCGTGTTATGTTTGAACAGATGGTCAAGCACAAGAGATTCACTGTTGGCAAACGACGCGTATCTTTGTTTAAACATGTATTGGAGTTGATTGGTGTGATACAAGTAAACCGATGTACACGAAAATGAGGGCAAAGTGATGAAATGGAAAGTTACGTATATGATCTGAAGTAAAATGCTTATTACGTTAATTCTTAGTGCTTCTGAAGGGCAGACATTTATTTTTTGAAGTATAATAATGATAAACTCAAGGCGAAGTAACCCGATTCTTTAGTGAAGTACGATTCCCTAAATTTTTTACACTGAATAAAATGCTTTATAAATAGGAATAAATCTTTTATTTATTATATGTTTCTGAATTGCGTTTATCGATAACAATTTTTCTTGTTTCTTTGGTGTAATCATCTTTAAGATTTTCTAATTGATTTTCAATATTATCTAATTGTTTGGTATTTTGAGATTCTTCTAATTCCATACTAAGAGTTAGAAAACCATTTGTATTTGAATGTATGATGCAATGTGAATTTTTAAATCTTGAAAAATATTATCTATAGAAAAAAATTTTGATTCATTTAATGTGTTCTACTTAAATATTTGTTGGCTATCGTCGATTATGATAAGAATACAACGAGGCAGCCAACGTGTTATTTGATCAGGTGTACCTTAAGTAAGAAAATAAATTATCTTCTTTTGGTGAAATTTTCTATTTGACATACGAATAAGAAGACGAATTCTATTGATCTAGAAATGAATCAAAGATAATCTTATATGTTATTTACAAAATGAATCTGAAAAAAATTCAATCATATTTGTTTAGTTTGAGAATCTTCCTGGAAACGTTTTCGATGAATCAAACGTATAGGTTCGGTCTATCTGTTTGTCTACAGAATTGGAAGAAATACGTTCGCATACTTTTGTAATTTAACTAATATGATTTCAAAATAAATGTTGAAACTTTTACTATCGTTTCAATACTTTGACTAGAAGCTACTCTAGGAATTGCAATATAGCATTTGAATTGTCTTTGGTGGTTAGTTTTGAAGAGTCGACTTTTTAATCAACACTTAAATAAGGAAAATTCTCTTGAAACAGCGAACCTATTGATCAAAATGAAAACATCGTACTTGTCCAATGTGTGATCCATACGCTTTGAATTGTCCTAAAACATTACGCTCTAAATTTTCACGAGTTTCTATTTTACTATTCAATCGCATAAAATTGGTAGACATTGTTTCATTAATTAAATCAATAAAAACATTTTGTTTGATCAAATCAGATTGAAAATCTTCAGTCAATATATATATTGTGTAGGATGATTCTATTAAAACCACGAGTTTAATACAAAAACAATAAAGTTCAAAGGGAATGTTTTTTTTACCGTATTCAGGAACTGAATGTATTATTGTATTAGACATTAGCTGTGGTACGGTTGCTTGTTGATGCTTTATGTTTCGATTGACTATTATGAAAATGATATGTTTAGCATTTTTTAGTTAACTAATCAATCGATACATTTTAATTCCTTAACGAGATTCAATCATAATCGAGAAAATTTTGAAATCTACTCAAGCTGAAAATTTCAATATGGAAATAACTCGGATCTTCGAATCTATCCTACGATTACTTAAATATTATCGACGAATCAAACTGACGTATTTGCATATGTCTAGACTAAAACAAGTCAATTGAGAGGCAATTATCATTATCTTACGTTTCATCGGTTTTCGTATTTGAATTTCAACTAACGGTGCACTATCTATTCGTTTGGAATTCAACCATTTATTTATCTTATATCTATTAATAATAGAAATATTTTATGGAAAATTTTGAATTAATACATTTCACTCTGATATTGTTTGGATGGTATATGAATTGCAATTGATTCAACAAACCATCCTTGTTCAGCATTACCATTTTCATGACCTAAGATCAATTTATTAAGCTAAGAAAAAGATGTTCTTTTCCCCCGTTTTTAATGACTTTTCAATTTACTTCACCAATATCTATATCGTACAAAATGAATAAATCACGATTATTGGGTTCAAATGGAAATGACTCATTTTCGGCAATTTCTAAATATTTATTAACAATCGATCCCCTTGTCCCATTAATTGTTATCCAAACAGGTGAACATGTTGCTGCGTCAAACATTGAGCCCGTTACAATGCAAACCTCATAGCGAATAACTACACAATAAAAGATTCGTATTTCAGTTTATACGCACCATTCGATCGATTTTCTAATAGATCTATTTATAAAGTAAAAACATTTCATATGCTAAGCAGAACAACAGATTATAATCGAACTTTCATTCGATGAGATTTTTTGCTTGTCTGTAGAAAATATTATTTTAGCTTTTCCATCGAAATAATCTATTGACAGCCATCGATTCACAGGAAAACTTGAAGAAAATAATTTTCAAATATTGTTTTAATAATTCCAAATGAGTACTTACAAATATTCTTGTTGACTGAGTAAAATTTTAACAATAACAAAATCAACAAACCAAGCAGGTGTAGAATTTTCATTATTATGTTCAAGAACAATATATTGTATATCATGAAGTTGTTCATCTACGTTAACAAGAAATACATCACGGTATCGATTTTGAAACGGTATTCGATTTGTTAATGATCGGCGTAGTTGAAATGCATAAACACCTTGTGAACCGGATAAAAGAATGCTACAAAATGATATGTTTCAAAAAAAGTGTTGAAGTACAGAACATAAATTTCACTGTTCTCGATTACTTTTTTTTGTGATATCGAAAAAGAGAATGACAACATACCTGCAATCTGCTGATGTGCCTGCATATTTAGCACTGCCTGTTTGTATAGTAATAGCGCAATTGCCATTCGTTTTAGGTTCGATATCTACAAGTAGAAGAAACTCTTTACAAATAAGCAACGGTTCTTCGAGGTTAGACAATTTCTATCGACAGTTTTGTTTCGTAGTAAAATTGCGCTTTCGATAATTGTTTAGCAAACAAAGCGAAAGAGCTCGAGTGAAGAATAGAGAGTATTTTGAAAATAATGCCGTGTTTCCAAACCAGTTAAATTGACATCGGAGATGAATATTGGAGAATTTCAAAACATATCACTTTATTTGTCAAAGGCAGATATTCTACTCTATTTGTTGCCCGATAGTTTATTTCTATAGTCTATCATCAATAAGATACATTTAAAATATTCCTATTAGACTTGAATTGATACCAAGTCATCTCCGATCTGAATATTCCAAGAAATAATCAAAATTGTTACGATACCTATAATATCAGTGATTGGATAGCTAAGTTTTTCTTCAAGTATTAGTTCGTTGATATCAAATCTAGGTTAATAAATGTATTTTTGAAAATTTAATAAATTGATGATTATTTTACTTGAATATCTTATTTCGAGATGAAATTGTTACTTCAATATTTGCCAAAGACCAATTTTTTGGAAAGCCTCGTCCATCATGTGAAAATTTAATCAGTTTCGGCTTGAATCAAAACAAGATACAAGACTCTCTTCATGTTCTACGGTAAATTTTTTTCTTACAACGCCAACATCTTGATCAATAAAATGAAATAGATCAATTTGATTTGATTGTAAAGGATGAATATTATTATCGGCATATTGAAGAAGAAGTTTTTTAGTTTCATTGGTTTTACCCATTAATGTAAGAAAAACAGCTGACTCCTCATTTTCATTCTCATTTGTACGAGTATGTACAGCTAATTCATACATGATTTCTTTATTGAAAATAAAATTATCAATTTTTCCTTTTTCTTTTATCAATTTTATACTTACCATGCGATTGAAGATAATAGAGATCGTTTTCATCAGTTATTGGTAAATCATTTGAGATGGTAGCATCAGCTAAGTTAATTTAATCAATATAAAATTGTAAAACATGTAAACTAACTCGTTAAAACATTTGAATGAAACGTTATCGGCTTAGTTTTGATGAATTCGAAATCAGGAAAAAATAATCGAATTTCTTCACGTGCATGTTTATTATTTGATGATGCATGTAAACCATTGCGCATTATATCCAAACCATATATTGCTCGAATTCTTTAATCCATAGAACAAATTATAGCTCTGTTTTATGATAGGAGTAAAATTTACGATTCTGGTGCATCGGTCTTCGCACGTACAGGATCAACGGGACCCATTATTTCACGCAAAGCTTGAACTATAAATATAAATCAGATTATTCTAAATCCATGTTTTACGTTTTTTTAGTTACCAGCATCTTCTCGTGCAAGAATGATTATTTCACAAATATCGCTATATGAAAAAGGGAGATAACTAGAAACAAAAATTGTTCGTTCTTTATACCTGCTCATAAATTGAATGAAATCATTAAACCAAGGTAAACCTTGATGTCGAGCATAGAATTGAGTAAGAACATCTTTTGTTAGATGTCTTGTTGCTTTCATCAGAATTGTAAAGCCATTTAAATTTAAGCGTTTAAAAATATCATCTAAACTTATGGATTTATATCTATGTCATATAGTATTATGAGTGTCATTGAATACTTTTTTGATTTGGTGTTAAACCTGGTTTAATGACTGTTAGTGTTTGCTGATATGGAAAAAATTGTTCAAGTTCTTTTCGTGCATCAATGATACTTTCTGAACCATGAATCGTCGTCTGAATTTATCGGTCTCTTGCTAATGAGAAGGGAAATTTTTATTTTTAAACTTACAACAGGCATTGTCGTTTCATCAAAATCATGCCGGAGTCTATTAAATGAAATATGAAGCGAGTTTTTAAAAAGAGAAAAGAAATCTATTAAGCATACGTTCCGGGCATTTTACTGAAGTCCTCACGTAAAAATGGGCCAAGCAATTCACAAAAATCTGACACACAGTTTTCTTTGGCTATATACAGTAGCAAGCAAGGGCCACTGTTGAAATAGAGAATATTCAATGGAATTTGTTAATCATCGAATTCGTTCTTACTCGATAAAGGCTTCGACTAATGGCTTGAAAACATCGGCATTACGATGTTTTATATAGAGTGATTCAACTTCATCTGGTCGAAATGTATACGTTTTTTCGTAGCGTACTTCAAATCCATGTTGTATGATTGCTCGAATAATAGCTTCTAAGTCATAGAATGCAACAAAAATCAATGAAAAATGAACAGCGGAATTTTTAATAGAATAATTGTCAATAATTCGATCTCTGATCTTTCTATGTTTGGATTTATTTAGTAAAAAGATTCTTTGCATGTACCTTTCCTTGATCGTACATGAGCAGGCCCAAGAAGACATAATGTTGCAGTTTTATGAGGATATTCATCAATAGATTTTCCTTTAATTACAGGTTGTTGATATTCCGGGAAAACAATTTGAATTTCTCTATAGAAAAAAAAAGAACTTTGATGTGAGTCGTAACTGAGTAGTATTCAAAATATAGACTTTAATGCTTCGTTATTTGTATGACTTGAATAAAAACCATTTAGAATATTATCAGTTCCATAAAGTGCAGTTAAACAATCAGGATTATTTTCTCTAGCTAAATCTGGATCATTTGAACCAATGATATAGCGAAGATCATCTGAAGTTGATCGTCCGGTATGTCCTTTCGATACAATAGCACAAGTACTTGAACCACTCGACATAAATCGTATGAATTCATCAAGTACATTCGAATCCTATATGAAATAAAATCGTATCGAACATCATTCCCAAAAACTATACCGGTTTAAAAATGTTTATCAGTTCATCATCGTTTAATAGTTTGTCCTCGTGCATATGAATGAGAAATCCTTTACTACGTAACTATAAATATGTTAAAGATTTATTAAATAGATATTTTATTTTCATGATTTACATAATCGAGAATTTCATCTTTTTTTCCATTAGCAACAAGATCAGGTTTAATAACAAACAGTGCAACATCTAATTTATATGATCCTAAAACTACACATTGCAATTGAGTTATGCAGGCGAGCAAAAATTACCTGGATTCAGCCAATAATCTTGATCAACTTTTTCTGCTGTTTTCATTAATAAACTCCGTAAACTTGCAGATTCATCTTTATATACTAAATACAGGAAATGATTTTGCAAAATTTCTTGGTCAATATTAAGAAATGAATTCTACAGATAGGTCCATTCGATAACGTTTCTTTGTTTTCAATTGATTGACTACCATTGTTGTCTGAGAATTTCGTTAAAAATGAATCATCCATCTATAATAATATCGTTCATATTCACCTTCGCTAAAACAAATACTCATACTGATTAACTCACAGGTTCGCGTTTACGATTTTCTTTAATCGCTTGTAATTCTTTACTAAGTTGTTCTTCAATAGATTTTTCTATTTGTGGTGCATTCATATGGTATTGTACATGTACCAATATTTTATTCTAAAAAATGTTTTTATTCACCTATCTAGTTCTTCAAAAGAATTTTAAAAAAAAATACTCCGAAAAAAAGTAGCAACGGTTCACAATAATCACGATAACGTTTCAATAATTCAATATTTTCACAATTTGCCGAATAGAATATTAAATATTCTGCTTGCGTTAAATTGCGTTTTAGCTTAACAAAAATATCTTCGAAAACCATTGTCGGACCAGCCCATTCTTGATAAATATCGATTACTGTAGAATGAAAATAACTAAATTCAAATATCGAACTTATAAAAAAAAATAAGAAAGACTTATTTTAAGCCTTCTTTGTTTAACATGAGATCCCATTCTTCGTTAGATTGTATATCACGTATTTCAGCTTTCTTTTTTGACTTCATTTTTAATCAATTATACTTTAGCGCTAAATGACGATAAAATTTTTCTCATTGAAAATCATTTCAAGTGTGAAACCTTTCCTGAAGTTGAAAATTCTTGAAAAATATCACAGAATAGCATATAAACTATTTATTGCTTTTTTTCTTATGTGACACAAAAAAAAGCTTTTGCCTTCAAACAACGAAGAATCGTATTTCTTTCTTTTTTTGTTTTCAAAAACGAAAAAAAAATTTCAATGATGTTGTAGTAACTGATGATTTCCATGTTGTGGTCCAGCCGATGGAACAATCGCTTTAACACATAATAATGATGAATAGAATGGATTAATTGTTGCTATCATAGCATCTGATACATGATCTTTATTGATTATTTCTACAAGTTCATTAGCATTTGTAATTGTATGAAGTGTTGCTGATAGGGCACTTTGTTTATGCGATGCAGTGACCGTGCCACTCGATGAGTCACGAGTTTTAGCAGAACAATTAGTTTGTTGAGGACGACGAGTACGTAGTACTGCTGATAGGGGGTCACGTGTTTGTTTTGTTGGATATGGAGGTTTTATAACAAGATTAACAACGGATACATGTCCTTCTTGTTCAACTGGCGAACTTTTATTACTATTAGTGTCCTATGGGGAAAAGAAGAAGCAACTATATTAACCTTTGTAAAATGACGAGAAACAACAATTTCAATTAACCTGTCGCTGCTGCTTATTTACATTTCGATTTTTGCGTTTTGGCTCTTGATGATCAAACAAATGTATGAGATCACTTGTTGCTTGTAAATTTTTTGTTGGTTGTCCAAGAAACACTCGAGCCAATTTACGTTTAGCAATAAATAAATGATTATTAGCAAAATCATTTCGACGATACGGTTTATAACTTTCATTGGTACCAGTAGCACTTGATATTACGGGTAAAAATGTTTCAGGAACAAGAGTACTTTCAATGGAGGAACGTGCACTTGCTAATGGAAGTGCATGCTGATGATGTTGATGATTATTCAATGGCAAATGATAAGCCGCTGCTCCATTTTTACGACGACCACCATAAGGTGGAAAATAACCTGCATTTATACTCATTAGTATTCTTCTTTTTCGTCTTCTTTTCTAATAATCAATTTCACTTTAACAGAAGGAAAGTGTCAATATAAATGCTTTTAATTGTATGAATTCTTGCAGTCGACGTTTACTTTTTCTTCTTTGATTCTTCTCTGTCTCGAAGTAGAAAATGGAAAGAAATCAAAAGAAGAGAAAATAAATAGAGAAAGCAATGACTTTAAATTGCCTTTGTCTATTGAAACGTACTTTTCTTCATTTAAAAAATATTTATCGAGTGAACAAAAAAAAAACAAAAAGAAAAAGAAAGGCGATTTATATTTTGTTAGCTGTAGGTTTTTTTCACCGGTCTGACAACAAAACAGTTTCAATGTCAATAACTTCGTTAATCTCAATAATTCGTTTAACAACAATTGTTTGTTCTTGAATTATTTTTTCCTTAAATTAATAAACATCAGTTTACTTATAAATATTTTACTAAATATTCTTATGATTTATTTGTCTTTAAAATTCAACAAAAAGCGTGATTTCAATGTTTTCTTACAAGTTAAATAAATTACTTTAGATTTTTTTTGCGCGTTACAAAAATTTCAGATGTTGGTTCGCTTGAATCTATCTAGTACGTGTTGTTGTTTTATTCATAAGAGTTTTGTTAATTCCATTGACACGAGTGTATACAAATGAACGCGTCGTTGTCATGTATACTAACAAAATCGGCAATCAAATTGTGAAGTTTTTTTTTATAGATAAACAATTAGATCATTCTATAGTAACATCTTTTCGGGAAAAAACTAAATTTTAGTTCAAGTTAGTTCTCAATTTGGATAGAACGCTTGTCATAAAAATTAAAAAACGTTAATTTTTATGACCTTGCGTAAAATGAATAATTTATCTAAAGAAACTTGTAATTTTAGCATATTTTTCTAATATTTGTTTGCGTTATTGCAATAATATTTAATATTCGTTGATTCGATTTCATCCAATTTAAATAAGTAAATATTAAATATTGATTTTTAGTTGATCTATGAGTGTGATTATAAGTGCTAGCCTTACTTCTTTCTGCAACCGGCTTTTTCTTTACTAGAGAACTACTAAGGCTTCGTTCAACTCAACTATCAATAGTATTGAATTTTTTTAATTTTTGCTTCTATAAAAAGAAAGTCGTGAAAGAGTATTGAGAACAGCAATCTAAGGTTGTTTTTATAAATATTTCTACCAGGACATTATGATTTATTGAATAAAGTTAAAATTATGTTATTTTTATTGCTGGGAACAATATTGAAAGAATCATATGTAAGTTTTAAAATTAAAACTTTGAGATGTTACGAAGATAAAATGTCCTGCTTTTCCAAACTCATATTTGTTAAGTACATTTTTCATCGATTACGATAAAAATCGAGATGTTAATGATTAACATGAGTATAACATTACTAAATGCATATATGATTAAAAAACCGAGGTTGATTAACAGCAGATCACAATTTAATGTTGTTAATTTTTTTCAATGCAATGCGGCTGTCATGTATCGTATTTGTAATTGACAAGAAGCTTTCATCGAGCTAAGATTTGAATTTAGCAACATACGTAATACATCTGCACGCCGTCGAATTATTTATTTTTACATATCGTTGAAAACAAAAATACTTCGCATTATTTGCGAACTATCACACCAACAGTTTTATCGCTACATTGCATGTAAAAGATTTTGTATAAGGTCAAATGCCGTTTGATTGTCTCGGATTTCTATTCATAATAATAGGAACGAAGTATTTCATAGACGCACATTCACAAAGTCAAAATAAATGATGGATACGTGGTTGATGGCTTTTGCATTGTCGAAAATCATATTCAAAACGTGTAATTGAGCTATGGTCTCGTTTTCATTCGCATCACCAATCATTGGGAAAAAATACAGTAGTCATTTTTGCATAATTAGCAACCGGTAATAGCCCGAACATGAATGTAGTGTACCATGTCTCAATCGTAGCAAATTTTCATTTCTACCTAAGCGGAAGCAATCATATTTCTTATTTTCTGCTATAAAGCAATTATACCAAGGCAAAAAATTACAATCTTCTGGCTGTTTAGTATAGTTTAGCATTGCAGATCTGATAAAAAGATAAAATAAATAAATTTCATGCTCTATTTTTCCTTATGAAATTATCAGTATATCAAATAAAAAGATTCTTCTAGTTCATATTGGATCATGTATCTACACTAAAATTCGCACAAATGAATAAAAACAAGACAAGCTGCTGTTAAGAATATTATTTCAGATGAAAATAAGAATGAAAAATAAAATGAATATAATTCGTATAAAAGTTTAAAAAAAAAACCAAATTCTTTCTATTTTTATTCTGCATTCTATTCATTTGAATCTAATGTATCATATTTTATTTTCATAATTCCACCACCACTTGTATTCGGTTCTTGTAATGCGTACCAAGCTATGCTTATTTTTTCTGGATCCAAATTCGACAGATCAATTTGAAGCTGAAAACAAAACACAATAGAAAGTACTGAATTTAGCCTCGATCTCAAGTCTCTTCAAAAACAAAACTCCTATCAAATGTTAATTCCATCTCTAGCAAAAATAGGACTAACGTCAGTAGAAAAGAATAAAAGCCTGGATCTTTTATTTGACTTACATCACCCATGTATGTTTCTTCTTGAGTAAATAGTGGCGAATGGTTTTTAATACTAAAGTACAGACGTTGTCGACGCATATCAGCTAATGATCCTTGCCATTCAAATCTAAATCATGATATGAATATATAGTTTGTATGTCAAAATTTCATTTGATTCAGTCTTACAAGTCATCATATTTTGGATTAAGTGAATCATGAATAGACTTCGTTTTCTTTTTATCTTTTTTAAAATCTGGTAGTAAAGTTAGCCGTATATATGGATCTGGTAGATTCTGGGAATGAACGTTGATAAGGTCTCTAGAAAAAAATAAAATTTTTCATAATTATTCCTTCTTGTAAATCAAATCTTAATAATGAACTTACGTGCATGCATATACATGGATTGACAAAGCTTTACGTTGAGCAGTATAACGAATGCCAACCTTTATTCGACCGTACTTTGCGCCTCTTTTAGTAAGGTTTTCGAGAATGAATTAGAAATTGAACGAGAAAGAACTTTTTCTTTGTTACCTTAAATCAGGATCTTCAGATATGACAGCAGTTTTTTTGCCAGGTGTCACATGAGTTTCCAACAAGGAACGATGAATATTCGATGCAGACTATTAAAAACAAAAAGTATTATGTGATTTTTTCACGAGCTTTTAAAAATCTATAACATTGAAAATTTCGTTCAGTTTGATTTCGTGAAATTTCAAACAGATGATTATTGAGGCTCTTTTTCGGTTCTCGTCCACTGAATGCTTTTCTCATAGTAGCTTACAAAAAAAAAACCGAAGAGTGAAGTTCATGATAAATCCTATGAGAATTGAAAATTAGCTAAGAAAAATTCCACAGATCTGCCATTCAAATTATAGGACTCATTCTTAAAATCAAGTAATATGAACATTATTCAATACCTGAAGCGCTGCTGCAAGTGTTTTCTGTGAATTATCTTCTTCTGATGATTCTTGAACTGACGATTCTTTCTTATAGTTCTGTTCTTTACCAGTTGTTACATTTGATCCTAATGGTATATCAAATGATTTTGTACCATTAGCCGATGACGATTTTGATGGTGAACTTTCACGAGTCTCACTTGAACGCTCGGGCGATAGAATCTTGTAAGAAAGAAAAAAGCAAATAAATTTTCTTTTTTTCTCAAATTAACTTACTAATAGTGATAAACGAACAAAAATCTGTGCCCTATCAAATGGTTCCGATAAACATTTAAGTGAATATGCTTGCGTTTCAATAGTCATTGTTTCAGTATCAAATATTTGTTTAATTGGTATTTCAAAATAGCCAATAATTTCATTATTGGTTTTTGCATCACATACATCGATTTTTAATTTTTCATGAAGTGGATTCGCACATAGAATTTGTGATACGTGTTCAAATTTTGGATTTGTTTGACTGTCGAATGTTCGCGTCTTGTCTTCCGTTGCTTCGACTTTAATTCGACAGAATGGATTTGGTTCTCGGCGAGTCTTTTTTGATCGCTAATTTTAAAAATTTACAATAGAAAAATATAAATAAAGATTTTTGCTTTGTTTGCCGTACAGGAAGATTAGTGCATTGATCAATAAAACAAACAAGTAATGCTTTCGATAATGGCTCTCGTTTTAATATTTGAAGGTTTGCTTGGTGCATCTAAAATGTTATAATAAAATTACAATAAAAAAAAGAACTAAACATTTACTTAGCTAACTTACAACATCAATACAAGATTTTTGTTTTGTCAATGTAAAATACTGTAAACCAACATTTAATGTACCTTTTTTTACATCTTGTAATGTTAACCACTAGAAAAATAGAAATTTCTGAATAGTAAATTTATACTTTACGTATATATATAACATACTGTATCAACATGACCACCGTCAACTAAATCTTTCAGAGGATATTGAGCTCTAAAAAATAGTAGAATGTAAATATTTTCCTAACGAAATTATAAACGTTCATATTCTCTCCACACTTATGTCATGCTCTATCGAAACCCTATACAAAAGAAAGAAAACGTTTGATGAACGTGATTGATATAGGAAATAAATCTGATCGAATAAAGGATTAAGACAAAATCTGTACGTTTTTCATTATAATATGTGAGAAATCTATAGAAAATTAACTTTTCTATTCAATAGTGATCGTAATCACTCTTATTTGTTTTTATTTTTTCAAAGAGGAAGACGCTATTGAATCTATCTATCCTGCAATTTAAAACTCCTTCGATCATTCTAAAGGCTTCAAACAAATATAATTTACCTTCCAATAAAATCATCTTTACCAGGATCTTCATCATACACTTCAAATTGAACTACATCGCTTTCCGATTGTTCAACAACAAATTCAAACACCTAATTTTGCTTTTAAAATAAATACAATAGACATAAAATGCAACATACTTCATTCCATGTTGGGTCGGTTGTATTATCAATAGTTTTTGTTTTATATTCTTTCGTACCTTGTACTATATATATATATATATAAAATCTTCATTTTTAAAAAGCAAATTAAATTTCCTCGTACATTTAACTGTAACAAATGGATCACTTTTTCCTTTTCCTAGCAGTGAAATATCAGCGTTAATGAGATTTTGTGCTCTTAAAACAAATACTCGCACCACACCCTAAAACAAAAATAATGCTAACTTTGAAAAACAACCTTTCACTGCCATGAATATCACCTGAGGATTAGACCATCGTAAATGTCCAATTTGAATATCTCGAGCTAGAGCAAAAACTTGTCTATTAGGTAAAACCATCATTGATGCTACTATTTCATTTATTTGAACAAGCATTAAATCACTATTTCATAATAGAATTATGTATGGGATGTTTTTTTTTCTTCAATTGATACCTACTTAAGACCAGGTATATCTACTAAGGTTCCCGCGTCAGTTAATTTAAAATCAATACTCTAAACAGAGCAATGTATAATTAGCATATAGATCGTTCAATTTTGTTTTTGTACACTTACAGGTTTTCTAAGAAAAAAATATGTGACTGCGCCAACTAATGGAATTGTATTGATTAACGGACTTAAAATAATTCGAATTTCACCAACAAACTGTATATCTTTTACTCCACACACGATTCCCTTCAACTTTGCTTTAACACATGCGTCACCGGCATAACTAATGAATCAAAAGCAAAATAGATATTAAATTCGCGTGAAACCAAATGGTAACTATAAAATTTAGTATCGCATACAAAACTTCAATATCCATCATAATTTGATCCCGAACATTATCTGCATAAACTTTAACACCTCCAATTCTAGGTGGCTAGAAATAACGTTTTAAGTCAAGTTTAAAACAAAAAGATCAAATTTGTAAAACATACGACTTCTCCAAGGTCAAGTTTTTCAAATGAAAAATCTGCTAAAGCTGGTGATGTTCCACGAATGATTGGAATGAGTAGATCACGAAAAATATCTTTATCAAGATATTGATTTGCGTATGGCCACATCTGTTTAATTATTCGATTTAACCATTCGGCTCGCTCAACATCTGGAAAAAATACCTACGCAAATAATAGCACTTTAGAACAACCTTTCCTTTGTGGTTTTAGATTAAACTTTTTTCTTTTACCCATGATGGTAGTTCATCGAGACGAGCTTTAATATATTGTTCTTCATTCTGATTTATCTCATTCAACATGTTATGACGTTGTTTCGATTGAGCACGCTGCCGTTGTCGAAATAAATATATAAATACAGCTAATAAAATCCATGACATACTGAAATGAAAATATCCTAAACAGAAACATCAAGTTCTTCAGTCAAACTTTAAAACAACATAGAGCGGATTCCCTTTGAAATCTATATTTGAAGAAAATAATCCACAATGAATTACATATGTGTAGAAATAGATATTCTAGCCGACGGATACTCTACATCTCCTGGAAACCGTCGAGCTCACTCTAGAAATTAGGAGAGCATCCATCGATGCAAATAAAAACACTTATTTTCCAGCTGTTCAATGCAGGCTAAGCCTCCAGAAAAAAACATTTTCTCGCTCCGTCACTGCTGCTATGACGTTCTAGTAAAACAATTATATGATGACTTGTGGTTTTACGTGACACAAATGTTTGATCATGCGATGAGCCAACCGACTCGATGCTATTACTATAGCAAAGTAAAATATTCATTGTTGACATATCTCTGTAGGATAATGTCATATAAAGCTCAATTTCAAGCGTGTGAAATAATTTAAAATTAGAAACAAAAGAAGGCTACCTTCAATTGTAGCTTGCCAACAATAGTCTCGGTGTGAATGGATCTTTAATCTCCTATACGCCCACACCCTAATAAGATCAAAATATACGGAAAAAATACCTGGAATTGGGAATGCAGATTATTTTTTAGATTCAAAAACTACTTTCACATTCTTTGATTGAGATAGGCAAAAATGAATGAATAGAAAGGCTGCTTAGAAATATTTCGAAATGAATGTATTATTCTTTTCTTCTGATAAATAAATCATTTTACTTACCAAGTACCCAAACGAAAAAGACAAGACCAACAATTTCCAAGTAGTTTTTCGTCAAAACAATTAAATCGGCTTCTGTTGATCCCAAACCAATTCTGGTTTTGGGCAATCGAAGTTTACGAAATTCATTTGTAACACGTGAGCTTGATAATGGCGTGGATTCAGGTTCTGCGTTCAATGGTTGTTCGGCGAAATAATTTTGTGCAAATGTTGTAAGAGTTGCCATGCCTCTAGAAATCTATTGAAGCAAAAAAAACATTTATTTTAATGAAAAATTTAATAATAACAAAAATCAATTCTATTAGCGAAAGCATTAGTATGAATAAGATATAATTAGCGAAGATACATACCATTGTCGATGCACGTACATACAATGACTGAGTCTCTATATCAGCCATTATAGAATAGTTTTCACTGAATAGGAAAAAAATAATAATTTGTTTTTGTTCTTTTATTACAAATAATATTTATTTTTAATTCTTCGATTAGAAAAACAATTTATACTGTGCATCTGACGATCCTTCGAGTAATAGAATATGTTTGATTTATTTGCCCCGTTGTTTTAGAGATGAATTTTTAGTGTAGAACTCAATCTAACATGAAATATGTGGCTATTCTTACCTTCAAGTTTGCTCTATATGCAAAGTAGAAATGAGTGTTTTTTACTCGAGGGCACTTTAAAGAATGTTTGTAGAGTTTCATATATATATATATATAAATAGGATGGTTGATTTTCATTTTCCCTTATCAAAATAATAATAAAATACTATTCTGTCTTTGATAAATCAGTATCATAAAGAAAGAAGTAAAGAATGTTACCCAAGGTTGATCGCATCCTGATATAGGGGTTATTCTATCACCCTATCGAAAACATGCCTATTAGAAAAGCAAAAGAACATCCGCATAGAATCATGAACGTCATACATTGTATGAACGTCAGTAAATTATTACTTGAGGTGCAACTGGTTCTATTCTACAGTAGAAAAGATAAGAGAATGAGATCGGAAAGTTGAAATATGTAAGACACAATATTTTTTTCTACTCCTCTATTTTTTATGACGATATAATGATGGGCTTACTTTTCTTTTCATCAATGTATTTATTACCTGGTTATATTTAATGTGAAATTTCTAGTGGATTATGGTATACCTTCAATCGCTCATAGATTTAATGAAAACCTGCAAGAATAATATGATTGTTCTTCAGGGCACCCTTCTTAAATTTTTTTTTCTTCTTTTCTTTATTTCTTTCTTCTTTTTTTCCCTATGTTGATGTTCGGTGGCGTTGACGTCGTCGCCATGCGTGTAAGTATTGTCATATTGGCTAAGGCAGAGAGAGAGAGAGGGAGAGGGAAACACGCGTATAACAAACAGAAGGATGTAAACATATACACATAGACGATGAGTAAGTAACCGAATAGTGAAGAAACATTGAATTTCTTCTACATTCGATGTTTGAATAAGTCAAGAATTTCATCACAAACAAGAGGTGACAGAAAGAAAAAAAACGATAGAAATTCTTTTTAAGCAGTAAAAAGAAAAATATTCTGTATGTTGCTTTTTTCTCTTTTATGAGACTGGCGAAGAAAAAAAAACGAATATGAAAGATAAATATTTACTCGGATTTTACACTCTGTACTTTATTTTCTTGAATATCAACTAAAATAAATCATTGTAGCCTCTTTACAGTCAATAGTTTAGTTAAACGTGTAGTCTATGTGATGTGCTAAAAATTCGTGTCTAATAACATACAACGCTGTGCAAAAAAAGTCACTGAATAGCAGGTTTTCGTTTTCGTTTTCTCTCTAATAATAATCATTTGTATGACATTTCTTTTTTCTCGCTCATTATCGAACAGATAGACTTGCATATAGAGTTATGTAGGGGCTCGTAAATTTTACATAATTGTATGCTGAAAACGACAAAACTTATTCATAAGAACCGTTCTTACATTAATTCTTTTTCCCTTTCGGTTTAAACAATTTTGCAGCCAATACAACAATGACTTATATTTAATTTACTATTTATTTTGCATCAACTAGAGAATTCATTCTTTTATATACATCTACCGAGAATAAATGTTAACCAATTATGAAAATGAATAATAGCTCGTTAGTGACTTGTTATGAAAATATCTCGTACATTTATTCTATAAATAGTACTCAATAACAATAAAAGTTTGTCAGTGGTCTACTCAAAATATTTGATCGAAATACTGGAGCTTGATTTACATTAGTTTTCAATGAACCGTTATTCTTAATTCGACGAGAATCAAGTATTCAACACGTACTAGAATAAAAAATATATTTAATATAACGTTAATCGTTTATATATAAACATGTGTGTGTGTGTGTGTGTGTTTTATGTCTATTCAGGTAAATATGTAAAGCAAAATCCCTAGAAAAAAAGGCAATTAAGCGACACAATCAGAATAATAAATTTGGATAGATGGTGGCAAATAGGATGCTGCTTATACGAAAATAGTGAGCAGCTTCTCAAACCTTTTTTCTTTCGTTGGTGGCATTTTTGGGATATTTTATTTTTCGTTTCTATGAAAAGATATCAATGAAGCACTAGTAAACAAGTGTCAACTTGCATGGGCTTCTTAAGATTCAATCAGCTTAAATAAATATGTCACAGAAAATTCGTTGACTTATTCGAGCTATAAAAACCGTACAACTCGAAAAAGGTTTGCCATGTCACATGTAAGAGCCAACAAGAAACGCTGAAATCAAAACTTGCATTTTATTATGTTAAGACCCTTGAAATCTATGAAAACTCACATTAGGGAAATCATTAAATCAGTTACTTATATTAGAATGAAACAATTAATAATAAAAAAAGCTCGCTCTCCGAATATTCTCATTTGCTTTAATGTGAATAATGACACGAATGTGAGAAAAATAGCTTGAGAACGATCATATCGAACGACTCGCTATTGTTATGAAACAAAAGAGACAACAACGAGGCATTTCTTTTAATATTTTCTCCGCTGAATCTATTGCAATAATATATGAATCCAATAAATTTGCTTTCTTAACATATACGCAAAATAACGAAAAAAGTCTAATTCGTGCTCGTAACTATAACTGAGATGGTTATCTTCTCGTTTCCATTGATACTCATTAGATTAGTTTTTATTTCTTGTGTTAATGAAGAAATAAATTTTCATTGCTTATTTGGATAGAATTTGTTAAAAAGCCAAATAATCAAGGTAAAACAAACATAATAAAAAACATGAATAATTAATCAAATTATGATCAATTATGCACACGCATACACGTATGTCGCGTGTCGTTAGATTATAGCCGCACAACTCAAAACATAAAAATATTTATTATTTACGCCATTCACTATTGTGAAAAAACATTGCTTACCGCATAGACAGAATGCTGACCAAAATATAATCAAATGTGTATATTGTTTTAAACTGATATTTGTTGCAATTCTCTCCATTTGACGTACGTGGTATTTAGTATGATAGAAGTAACCGTGTAGCGTATCGATGCAAAACATATCCAGTTTATGATAGTTTCAATCGTCTGTTCGCTCAATTTTGTTTTTAGCACATTGCTACTAGACTGCCAGGTGTCGATTTTTCTGGTTGCAATGAAAAGATTTATATTCCATATTATTAATCGTGTGGAAAGTTAAGAAATTAGATAAAACGATTTTTCTCTATAAATTTCAGGTGCTTCTAGAGATTAAGTTGTGTGTTCTATGAAATTCCTTGCAAGAATTATAGAAAAAATGTATGAATATACATAACACCGAAGCAGAAAAGACCTTGATCGGCGACCACATTTATCGTTCACCCTTGAAAGTGAAACATGAATCTAAAAACAAACGGCAATCGTTGCTTTTACGACTGCCATCGACTCCAATTATCATTTCCAGGATGTATAGCAGCTGATGGCAGACCTAGAGCACATAACATAGATGATACCCAACGTATATTTTAGTTGTATTAACTACTGATTAATTGAAAATCATGTTAAGTCTATTTTGATACTCTTGTTTTTTGTTGCTTGCAGAGCGAAATTTTTCTGAAAAGAAAACATGAATTGAGAAATGTTGATAGAGATTTTTTATTCATCCTATGATAAGAAATCGATTAACTTTGGTCTTGAAAAATATGATCATTTTGATTTTGACAAGGATAGAAAGCAAAGAATAAGCAAGACCGATGGCAACGATAACATTTACAATTCATTATGACGATCAAAAAGTCAATATGATGTCTCAAGCTGTAGAATATCTGTCCATATCAGCAATGATGTATTACGATCAGATTTATTAACCATCTATCAATAAATTTTCTTGATCATTCAACAGCTGCAAAGTACTTTCATAAATGAATTGTGAAAGAGGGATCACGTCTTCATAATAACGATGGTGCAGTCTAATTGTTTTGTGGCATAGTAATCAATGCAACATCACTATATCGAATATCATCAAAAACTGAGTTCTAACATTAACTGATTGCTCAGTAAAAAATAATTAAGGCAAATATTCTCATATTACTATTTTAATGCATCGTCATATTACCTATCTTTGAAATAAGGTGAGTCAGATAATGTTAAAATTCGATAAAATTCACGAATAGATTCTTGAAAAACACAATCTATACAGATATGGTTACATCTATCTATGTGTTACGTGAATCCAATGAACTCTCAATCTAACGAATTCATCGATGACGTCAGAAATCCATTTGATATTTTGATGAATTTTTCAGAAAGATCACAATGAGCGTTTGAATAAACCGTGACTTTAACTGTAAAATAAATATATCCCAGGTCGAACTTGTACGATAGGAAACGGCAGGAAAACGCCGGAAATCACTGGAACATGGAAGCAGTATTCCGATCGGAAAATTTCCTGTGAATTCCTAACGGTTTCCTGTGCTTTCAGACAGGAACCGGTTGGAAAATCATCGGAAAACAACCGAAAATTCCCGCCGGAATACTACTTTCGATTCCCGCGATTTCCAATGTTTTCCTGCAGCATACGGCGGTTTTCCCCGCAGTATCCGTTCTCCGGAATCATTGGCCTGGGATATTGGCTCTGCTTAGTTTTTTTTTGTTAATCTAAATTCAATCAATCATTATGTCTACTATGAATGTCAAATAGAATACGAAAGAGTGTGTTAAGAAATAAAGATAAAAAGTTGAAATTCACTTTGATATTTTTATTACATGTTTTCCAAATACTGTTCTCTGCTAAGTCCAACGCCAAAATCTTAGTCGCAGGAAAATTAATCTAGTTTTTTCAGAGTACAAACAGGTAAGATACGGAACAAGAAGTGAAATTACTGTAAAAATAAAATTGAACAAGAGAAAAACACGAAACAAAACTGAATTAAGTCGCACTGACGAGAAGAACAGCTTCTCGTCCTGTTTGCTTTAAATGAAAAATATTAAAAACAATTTCACATAAAAGAGATCGAATCTTTACAATTATTTATGTCGATACTGATTGATTATTTTTGGTGGTGATTTTATGGCCATTTGACGAACATCGGAAACTTCAAGAATTCTTTCGTAAAGTGCAATAGTTTCTGGTGATAAACCGGCGTTTAATAGACGATTTTCTAAAGCAACGTCATGTTTATGAAGTAATTTTTGATTATGTGTTGGACTTCTGTCCGGTAATGTTATATGTAATGGAATATCGGAATATGTATTTGAAAGACGTGGTACTTCAAATAAAGATTTTGATGTTACACTATGCCATTGTAAATTTGGATCGATGAAAACTGAACGACTGTGAACATCTGTCGTTTGATTATCTGTTGGATTTGGCTGAAGAATAGATTTATCGCCAACTTTCACTTGCGATGTTCGTGGTAATTGTTGTGAAATGTTCTGAAAATTAAATATTAATGAACAACATTTTAAAAGTAGAGTTAGTATTGATGTACCGTATGTGACTTTGTATTGATGACATTATCTGACGGAATTTGATTTAGCGCTTGTGAACAAGTTGATTGTCTTGATGCATCTGAACTTACTGAGCGTCGATCACATCCAACTGAACTTGCTAACGATGCATTTTGTGATGTCAAACGCGTTATACTTCAGTGCGACCTAATTCAGTTTTGTTTCGTGTTTTTCTCTTGTTGTTGTTGTTGCTGCTGCTGCTGCTGTTGTTGTTGTTGTTGTTGTTGTTGTTGCTGCTGCTGCTGTTGGTGTTGTTGGTGTTGTTGGTGTTGTTGGTGTTGTTGGTGTTGTTGTTGTTGTTGTTGTTGTTGTTGTTGATGATGATGATGATGATGTGAATGAGATGATTGATTGATTTGTTGTTTTAATGAACTTTGAATAAGAACAAAGGTTTCAGCAGTTTGTTTTTTCTGCCAAAATAAAAACTTACTTTTGTTGAATTTGATCTGTTGATATTTGTACTCTTGAACTCGTGTTCGATGGTACTCGTTGTTGCGGATTAAATGCTGTTGGCTTATGAAATGGACGAAAAGCACTACGAGATCCACCACCGACTAAAATCGTAGTTGATGATTGAAAAGAATGTTTCTGTTCCCTACTAGCTCTTTCATTCGTAGGCTTTGCTGATGCAGTCATCGTTTTTGGAATATTAATTGTCGATGATACATTTCGTTCATTCTCATCGTTTCTCAAAGTAATTTGTAATGACGGAAGAGTTCGTTGCGGAGTTGGAGGTACAATAGCAACAGGTGGAGCTTGATTTGGAATCGATTTTTGTTGATTTGCTGAAGGAAGAGAACTAGATTCTGATGGTGGTAAACTTTGACTACGAACAGTATTCATTTGCAGAAGGTTCCTTAATTGTAGTTTTTGTTGATATTGCTGCTGGTGTTGCTGTTGTTGTAGTAGTTGCTGTTGGTATTGTTGCTGCTGTTGTAGTAGTAGTTGTTGTTGCTCCTTCTTTTGTTTCTGCTGATCTTGTTGATGTTTTTGCTGCTGTAGTTGCTGTTCCTCATTTTGTTTCTGCTGATCTTGTTGTTGTTTTTGCTGCTGCTGTAGTTGTTCTTCCTTCTTTTGCTTCTGCTGCTCTTGTTGTTGTTTTTGTTGCTGTAGTTGCTGTTCCTCCTTCTGCCTCTGTTGCTCTCGCTTTTGCTTCTGCTTTTGTTGTTGTAGCAGTTCTTCCTGTTGCTGCTTCTGCTTCTGCTGCTGTAGTTGTTGCTCGTGATGCTGTTGTTGTTGTTGTTGTTGTTGTTGTGGTTGAGAATAATTTCGAGGAACAGCAGAAGAACGAAGATTCAAGATAGTAATATCATCAACTGGTCGAGAAGGGTGAATGGATGGTAGAATGGTGGCTATTGGCAATTGTTGAGCTGGTGCTAGAACAAAATTCGAAAGTCATCGTTGTAAATAAATTTAATAACACGTCATGATGGAATAGTTTAGAAATTGAAAAATAACGTAGAATAATGATGTTCATAACAACAAGAGTATGATATCTTTCGTAAAGATAAAATAGCGTGTCAGAATTAGGCAGGTTCTATTAGTATACTTTTGATGATTTGTTTTGCAAAAAAAATGCACGAATTAATGGAAAATTAGTGGTTTAAGTGTCACATTGATATTCGAAAAAAAAGAATGGCTAGTCATATCAGCAATCATTTAGATATAATTTCGGCTATAAATCATTTTTGTTCTACGCTTTTCAATTAAAAAAGATATCAACGAAAAATCACATACATATGATAAAGAATGAATAACATATACTTTTTGCTACACATGAATAATTTTAACTAGCGATTCTTTTTTCTAAAATGTTTGTATTTCAACTTTGAAAGTAAAAAATAAATAATGACTAAGTTTAAACTCTATTGTAGACATGTTTAGTTACGATATTAATTCAAGGTTTGATATAGTAATAGTCTACGATTGAATAAAGATAATAATTTTCTATAAACTCACCTATAACAGGTTCACTGATTGATGCATCTTTAATTGTTGTCATAGTATCTACAGACGAATTCGAATGTGACTTCGTTAATGCTAGTGTATCAGAGTCATCTATGGACGAAGTCGAAGATGGTGTTATACCAGCTTGACTTAATTCTTCAGCTGTAATAATAGTTAGCATGATTTTAGGATTTTTTGGTAATTGTGGCTTTTTTTTAGGAGGTGTATTAGATATGTGTCGAGATTTTGCATTAATTTTTGTTGCTGATGATAAATCATGATGAGAAGAACGCGAATATTTTCTTCTTCTCCCTTTTGTTACCGTCATTGTACATGATGGTTGTATAAATCGTGTTGTTCCATCTCGAAAGCGAACTTCAATCGGTGGTTTCGATTGATAGTCATATGTTTGCTGTCGTCGATGTATATCAACTGACGGTATTGTACGAGCACTAATGAGGCCATGAAATGTTTGATTTGGCCAGTAGATTGATGATTGCTCACGATTACCAATTTGATGTTGAATATCGGCAATTGATGATGAAAGACTGCCACTTGATTCCTCATATATTGTTTCAAGTTGAATTGAAGGAGGAGGAACAGGAGGCTGAGTTTTTGATACCATCTTAGTTGATTAATGTCTCGTATAAGACATTTTTGTTTTAATAACAGTCAATAATATTTATAGGAGCAATATAGTGAAAACATGCAAAATATTGTTATATCATATATTTAGCTTGTTTACGTTATTGAAGCTTTTTCTTTTTTATACGTGTTGATTCATGCACTTGTATCATATAAATGATCAGTCATTTATCACTTCTGGTAGCATTAATATTTTCGATAATCATATCCAGTCAAACGCATGAAATAATAGAACGACATGACTAAAAAAGAAATATTTAATAGAGAAAATTTTTTATAGTAATTCAAAAAATTATATCTAGATACATCTTACACGCAAGCCCTATTGACTCTTAGTGATTTAACTACTCATCATCACAAGCATCAAATACGATATGCGTGTGCACATACGACATGTATGTATATATATATATATATATATATATATATTGATGGGAAGAATTTATTTCATTACGGGCTTTTTTTCTCTCGTTCTTCTTTGGCCTATTTCAACACCTTATGCATATTCATACCTAAAAATATATGTTGACATGCATAGCGAACAACTTCATTCGTTTTTTCTCTTTGACAGCTAGCAGATACTTTCCTTCACAAGCTTTAAATACGGGAATGAAGTACGAAAAGAAAAAGAGTAACTAGACATCGATGTACTATAATTATAATTCGTCCTTATTGCAGTTTGCCTTCAAACAAACACGCGCCACAGACACATTATCGAGTGAAATAGGCGTCTCATCTACTGCTCATTCTTTGAATAGATACACCTACATGTATTACGCTGTACGATTACGATGGTCATTATATTAAATCAAATGATCAATATCTTTCACAAAACGAGCATCTAATACTATACATCGAACGAAAACCGCCGATGTGCAACGATAATTAAATTAAATTAAATCACCTATTAAAAATAATCTATTGTGAGTGAACGATGAATTCGAATAATCTTCTTTTGTCCGATTCACGATGTTACTCATTCTGATGTGTCAATGACTATTTGTGTCACCTGTATGTATGTTATTTTCTAATAGGCAAATATCCTTGATTATTCGTCTTTTTTTACGCTGATTGATTTCTTGCTTTTCATTGTACTAATGCATAACTAGGATGCATTCGGTTTCTCTCTTTTTTTTGTTTCACGGTCAAAATATACAGCACGATGACTCTTTTCTGATGATAATTTTATGTGATTGCACTGTTGAAAACGTAATGCTTATATAATGGAGAATGATGTATTTTCTTTTCAATCTTAAAATACTCATCAAACGATAAGGTACAAATTAAAACGTCTGTCTTGTATTTAAACTAGTCGACTAGAAGAAAATGAGGGCGAAGATAACATTTAATTTTCTCCTTTTCTTTTTATTATATTATGGTAAATATGAATAAGTACAAAAAAAACATATATAAATCGCTATAATATTATTATTATTATTATTATTGCTGTCCTTCTCGTTGTCATGTGTCATTTTTTATTCAAAATAATGCTGATCAGACTAGTGATATGTAAGATTTTCATCAAACCAATCACTCAATACAATTTCATCAACGACGAAAAAGCTTTTTTTTTGTTCACTCTCTTATCACTATGAGTTAGATACTTCGCAAGAGTAATAATATCGAAAGACCAAGAAACAAGACACGAAAAAGTAATATTCAGATACAGAAGACGAATAATTTATTCAAACAAACATAAATACAAATAAATAGAGATAAACTAAAAGTTATTCAATTTCTTTCTTTTCTACTGAAATGAATTATATTTCATATCGGTTGGTATATATGCAGCATTAGACAAATTTTGTTCATTATAACAATTTGAACGTTTAGTTTCATCATTATTATCAACAGAATATCGATTTTGATTGTCTTTATCTATTAAAATAAAATACAAAACATAGAACAGAAAACATTAAAGTGTTTTATTTCTCTCCCAATATTGAAAAGCTATTAAGCAGATATAATTTAGCGATTAGAAAGGTTTGGACGAATGAAATAAAAGTATTGTGTTCGACTTACTTTGCTTTTTTGTATCAACTATAACAATCTTATTGCTTTTTGATGATGGGTTACCATCAGTATTTTTTGTTTTAAGTGATTGTTTTTGTCGTTCTTGTTTACGCCATTTAGCTCGTCGATTTTGAAACCATACCTAATGAATAGATTCTTTGAACAATCTCAAGCAAAATAAAAACGTTCAACTTACTTGAACTCTTGCTTCAGTTAAATCAATACGAAGTGAAATTTCTTCACGCAGATAAACATCAGGATAATGAGTCTAATAATTCAATAAATATTTTCTTTCAGTAATAATGATAAAAACAATTTTTTCTCTTCTTTTTTTTCGTACGCAGAATAATTATAATTTCTAATTGAGCAAAATGAACGATTTTCATCTTATATATAAAGCGTGTCCTGCTGCGAAGTAAAGGTACCGATCGCAAATCAAGAAATGGACAGGCAAACATTGCCTAATAGACCATACCAAAGTATTTCGACCATGTCAAAAAAATACTTGTCAACAATAGAATAACATACAAATTTGCATGCAAAGATATTTCCTATGATTGTTGATAAGTTTTTGATTGAGTCAAACTTATATTCCAACTTCTTCCCTAAAGAAATTTTCTTCTCTGATCTTTTATTATTTTTCCAATCAAATAAATTCGTTGGACACACAAAGGATAAAATCTTGAAACTCGTCTTCTCTTTCTTCTTATTATTGATAACTCAATTTTTCAAAATAGATTATTGAATTACTAGAGTGAATCATTTTAAAATTTTGTCTTACTTGTTGAAAACATTTTTCAAGTTCTCGTAATTGTAAACTTGTAAAAGTTGTACGAATACGTCTCTGTTTTCGTTTATTATCATGTAAAAATGCGGTTGGTGTTGTGGCACTGAGAAATGATGATGATGATGTCGTTGAATCATTTGGTGTTGTACCAAACATTTTATACGATGATTGAAGGCCTATTTATATATTTATATGCATTTAGTTCTATTAAAGTTTAACAAACTTTGCATAGTAGCCGAATAAAAGCTCGGATGTCGTAATGTTGTGGGCGCTGTACGATACATTTGATGATAGGAACTTGGTGTTGTTGATGAACTTGTTGCTGATGATTGGTGTGAATAAAAATCTGTGTACGGATTATAAGTAGCTGCTGCTGCTGCCGCCGCCGCCGCCGCCGAATCGAAATATGAAGTAGCATCAAAAGGTAAAAAATAGTTCGTATGTGAATGATCCATACGATTTTCTATTGTTTTATCTTATTGTTAAATGACGACAATGTTTGGCTTATTGTCGTTAGTAATCAACTTATATTTGCTTATTTCTCTCTCTTTTTTTTCTCATTTCGGATAAATAAGATGACAGAATGTGGTGAGCATATTTAACAAATTAAAGCAAGATGGTCGATCAATTTAAAGACAGTGCAAAAGAAAAGCATCGATCTAATCAATCAGATATTGTCTTTTTCATCTCTAGAGAAATGCATGAAGACTAACATATAAATGTGAAAAAAAAGAAATGCTAAGACAACACAGAAATAGTTTGCTTTTTTGATTTGTCGTCATCAATTTTTTGTGACATGTCTTGAACGAACAGAAGCATAAAAAAAAGAGAAGAAAAGAAATTGATTTGATGACTCGTTCGTTTAGCACTTATCAGCATATGATTAAATAAGTTTTCCAATGGGAGTCGATCTTTCAATTTGAATTTAGACTCTAAACTATTGACTAATCAATATATTTTCTTTTCACACTGCTTGAAATATTTTAGGAAAACGAATATAAAAATGAGCATAATACATTTGGAACTAAATCAGTTCTCTTTAGCAATGATTTCGTACGAACATGGTCAATCCATTTCGTCAAAAGAAGCATTTCTTTGAAATATTGTAAAATTTTATTAATCAAGAAGTTCATTTCTTCCTAATGCTTTTTAAAGCTGTCAAAATGAATGTAACTCTTTTTGTCTTATCGGATGTTGATTCCATTCGACAAGAATGCTTTTTATTCTCGCCAATGATTGAACAGAAAGATCTATTATAATTTGTACACAATTGATTTTGCTCTTGTGTTTGAGTATCAAAATACCTATTTGCTAAATAGTTTTTTAGTTTTCTCATAGATCTTCACGTTATTATATAAAACGATTAACTTCTTGTTTATTATATTATCATATTAATGTATTATATTGAAAAAAAAAAGAAACGTTAACTCGGCAATATAACATGATTATCCATCATCATAACATTATCTTCAATCAATTTATCCTTTTTTGTTCTTAATTTTCGACTAATTTGATTTTTTATCAAACGATAAAATAAAACAACATTTAAAATTGCAATTGCAGAAACGCTTAGCGCAGTAAATGTAAGAACTATGGGATCAAGTCGATGACGTTGTACATATAATTGCTGTAAACCATAATAAACAACACCAAAACGAAATATGATAAATGTAATATAATTGCCAATGTCAATATATAATTTTAGAGATTTCTTAGAATTAGCTGATGCTGACATAGGAGAATACCAACGTAGGAGTCTTCGCGCATGTAAAAATACGCTGTTGATTTCAAGTGACAATGCAAATAGAGCGTAACCAATATTACGTGAACGAAGAAGGATATGTAAAAGAAATGTAATGACGACAATATGATGAATAAGAATAGCAAATGTTGACGATGTAGAATTTTGTAGACAATCAAAAAAATCCCAGCAAAAATAGCCAAGACTGAAAGCAACTAATGCATAATTAAAGTAATTTATATGCGATAATGGATCATCGAACATTTCAGGTGCACGTAAAACGGAAATAATAATTAATACTGAACAAATCGATGAATGAATAAAACTGAGTAATGTATTTTGTCGAAGCCAATTGTTGTTGCGATCATGACTATCTTTGGGTTTTGCCGTAGATTTCGTCTTGAGATCGATGATTAGAAAGAAAATAAATGATAATATTATGTAAATAATCGACCATATTGGACTGATTGGTCGATAGGGAAAAACATCTGTCTCGTGGAAGTAAAAGAAAGTGGTCATGTGTATTATTTTGTGTATGTGAATCGTATTCGTTCTGTTGCATTAATAAAATATACCTAGTAACCGTATTGACGCACAGATTGTTGTTTCATTTGAGACCCTCACTTCAAACACATCCATGCATCCATGCATACATGTATTTTATAGACGTATGTTTTATGGGTGAAGAGCAAACTCCATTTTTATTTTTTCTTTCCTTTCGATCACAGAAAACAAAGTGGGTTGACGAGGAAAAGAAAGAAGCTTTACCTGAACGCAAGAGCGACAGCTTCTATATTGAAAGATCTGTCCTTTTTTTTCAACGCTACATGAGGCACGATAAATAATCAAGAGATTTTTTTATATAGAACGGCTCATTGAATGAATCCATCTACGACCATTCAAGGTATTTTTCAAAGAACGATCAATGTAAAACAAAACAAAAAAGAGAAGACTCTTCAAGAATGAAGAATAATTTATTCATTTTCCATAATAATGTTCCCAATGGACAGTAAATTATAGATCGAGTGTGGCGTTTCAGGAATACGGTAAAATGTGGATCCTTTCTTTTTAAAAAAGCATTTCAAAGTCATGTTAGCATTGGATTTTTTGTCATAGAAGCGTGCATCAGAGTCCCTGGAAAACTTTAAAAAATGTTTTTCGTTACATTTGACATATACCTATTAAATAAAGTAGTTTTACAATTGAGATTTATGTCAAAAATACGACAAATCGAGTTAATAAATCAATGGTAGAACTTAGATTTGTTTTTTGAACCAAATATTTTGAATTTGGTTTTAATCTCGGTTCAATAGATCTATCATCCAAACCGTTAATTGTCTTAAATATCAGTAAAGATTATATCGGTATCAGCAATGTTTTAAATGGATTATAAAAAATGATTTTGTCAAAAGTAAAAAAAAGAGGAAAATAAGTAGAGGATAGAAAGACAATCAAATATAACAATAACTTAGAAACATGTACCACGAGAAAATCATTTTTAAAGAAGGTCAGTATTCGGCTGTTGAACATATTCATTCTTGCTTTTGACTGTAGACATAACTTCCAAAAGATCTAATATGAAAATAAATAATGAAAACAAATAAAAAACAAAGCATATTTCTTACCAAAATAAAATGGAGTAAAATGAAGTTGCATTGTACGTTCATCAATAATAATCAGTTGTGGATTACCAATAGATTTTTCTTGTTGTGGTGATAATTGTATTGGAATATTCTGTGGTTGTTGTTGTGAAGCCGGCGTCGGTTGCAATTGTATTTGTAGTGGTGTTACGGATGGTGAATCTTCTTCGATTTCACTTTCATCACTGGTAACAGGTGGTGATACTGGTAAACCCATACATTCATGAATTAAACGCATAACAGTTGTACGATCATAATCATATAGATGTACCGATGATGGAAAACTATAAAAAAACCAATGAATTTTTCTATTTTCCATTCAATTGGTAAATAAAATTGAGAGAACAAACCGTCGAAAAAAACTATTAATACGTTGTTCAATTACTACATCAGACATTTGAGGATTAAGTTTAAGTAATTGAAGAATTTTATGACTAAAAGTAAAACTTTGAGATATATCTGTCAAATAACTAATCGTATTAATTACGTACACAAGAAATACTTCAATGCCACTATTACTTGTTACTGCATCGACGTGTAATCGTCTAAAACCAAGACGTCGATTATGTAAATATTGGCGAATAAGTGGAGCATCATGTCTAGTTAATATGTATGCCGTTAATTCACCTTCACCCCATGGACGTGATGATGATTGTTCACGAATGACACTAACACCTAAAATCTAAACAGAAATCCATTCACACTTAATTATAAGTTTGATTAAAATAAAATAAACAACACACGCGAGCACCATGAATTTCTCGTTTTAATAGTATTTCCCATTCGTGTGGTTGCATCATATGATCAAGATTGTGCACCATTAACATGACTAATGTTGAATCTGAACTTGAAGATCTACAAACATAAAATCACGGCAATAATAGAAATGAGTAAAAATTATTTTTTACTCTTCATGCTCATCTTCACTACATTGTGATTGAATACTGATGTCTGTAAATAAACAAAAATAAATCGTCAATATGAAGAAATCGTATTATCTTTAGAAACAAACTCACTATGTTGTCCTCGTCCGTACATCGTTGTGCTAGTGTGTTGCTTCTATTCTGGTTGTTGTTGTTATATTCGTGTCCACCCAAACTGAATTCTATGAACGAATAGAATCTTGTATATAGTATTTCTCTTTCTTTCACTTAATCATGCAGCGCAGATTTCGATCGTTAGTTGGTCAAATTTTATATGTATATTTAAAAAATGATTCATCCCAATCATTTCTCTATACTGTTCGTTTCACGTGGATCTTTTCGTTATATCTATTTGAAGGAAAAAAAAGAAATTCACTTATAATTATTAAAAAGCAACATGTTATACAATAAAAACTATCGCATGTTCAATTCTAACTCGATGGTATCTCTATACATCGATATTCAGAAGCAACGGCGGCGGAACGATATCAGTCTAGGGGAGGCTCAGAATTTTTTTCAGAGGATGAGAATGATGAGGGGTGAAATTACAAACAAAAAAAATCTAGTACTAATAGGTGGTCTGTTGATAATTTATTTCTGATTCTACCTTTCTCAAAACTTGTAAAATAATGAAACATATTACTGTAATATTTATTTTTCAAAAAATGATCAATAAGAACACAAAAATCCTAAAACGGCTGGCCGGGTCTCGGTCACCCTTGCATGGGGAGGGTTCGAATTTTTTCTCGAATCAATCAAATATGGAAAATACTTGATTTCGCGCAGTTTTTTTTTGCGCTGATTACGACTCTCTGCTCAAAAATAATTTACAGCCACATTCTCATGATGAGAATCCAAATTTAAAAATATTTCTCCTTTAGATTTGATTTTCTGACTTATGATTTTTTCTTAGAAATCCTGAAAACTACCTTATCATAGAGAGAATCGAATTCTCTACAAATCCCAACCGTTGCTTCTATCTTTGGGTAAAAATGTGTTTTTGATATTTTGGAAAAAAATTTAGGCTGCTTTGTTGTCAGAAGTTTTATACTCGGTTAATCTAATTTTGAAACATTATTTTTAACGGTGTCAGGTAGCGAAAACCTCAAACTACTAATCTATGTGCAAACCATAGAGTTTTGAGCCAAAATGTCACTGAAAAAATAAGCACGAAACTGTCCCCAGAAAATCCTAAAACATTGGAAAATTCCTTAACAAAATGAAATTCCGTAACGGTCACTAATTGTTTCTTTTCGCTGCCCGGGAGCTAGTCCAAGAACAAGTCTAGCACAATTTCTGTAGCTCCAACGGTGAGGTCTAATTTGGTAATTGCACGATCATTTCGAAAGTAATCTGAGACAAAATAATTCGGAATCTCAACATACACTCGAAAAACATTTTCATATTTTTAAGTTCCCTAATTTTCGGTATTTTTTGAATAACTACTGCGGTTGAAACAAAAATCGATGCAATTTTTACTGATAATAGTTTTAAAGGATCTCTATTTATGGTGAAAATTTCAGACAATTTGCTTTCAATAGTGAGAAATTACAAACATCGTAATGTGAAAAAATGAAATTCCGTAACGCATGGTCACGCCGAAAACGAATTTTAGAAGAGTAGAGCAAACAAAAATAAAGATAAAAAACACTAAATACAACCAAAAAAACACATTTTCTACTGATCACCCTAACATACACTTTAAAAATTCATGCGATACTTGTCACCAATCAAGGTTCTGCGTTGTATTTGCCTTTTGTTAGTAGTTTTTTTTTATCATTTTGTTAATCTTCATGAGCAATAGACTAAGTATTAAAGAACAATCGATCAAAATTTTGCCAATCGTGTCTCCATTAAAGATGAGATGTACAACTTTTTTCAAATTAAATGAGCCTCCCCAAGCCTAATGAGTTCGCCGCCTATGTCCAGAAGATGGAAAACAGTGTAAACATGGTTTCACTTGGAAAGAATGGACATAATTTTAGTAACAACATCTCGTACGTCTACTTTGCTTTTATAAGGCATTGTGTTCAAAGAAAAAATATAGATAGTGAAATAAAGCAATACAAAATAAAATATCACCTTGTGTATAATTCAAAACGGTAGTATAAAAATAAACTAAGGTTCATTTATCAAAAATCCATTTCTTTTTTTTAAATGAATTATCCAATAATCATGCGAAAGTAAAGGTGACGCAGTAAGAGCTAGTAAAAACTATAGTAAAATTACAATAAAGTGAATATGTAGATAAATATCAGGATTCAGAAAGAGACCGGAAAATATCTCAAAATGCAGATGAATACAGAAACCCAGAAAGCAATCAGAAAAAACGCAAAAATTCAGAACGTTCTTTGTCAAATTCAGAAGATGCCCAGGTCGAACTTGTACGGTGGGAAACGGCAGGAAAGCACCAGAAATTACTGGAACGTGGAAGCAGTATTCGGATCGGATATTTTCATGTGTTTTCAGGCAGGAACCGATTGGGAAATCACCGGAAAACAATCGAAAATTTCCGGCCGGAATACTGCTTTCGATTCCCGCGATTTCCAATATTTTCCTGCAGGATACGGTGTTTTTTTCCCGCATTTTCCTGCCGGTTCCCGCAGTATTCGTTCTCCGGAATCATTGACCTGGGTCTGGCATCCCTGATAGTATCTCAAGCTGCGTTTTTGAATAGCTCATAAATGAACCGAAGTATCTATTCATTTTTGCTCATCATTTTATTTGTGGAGATTATCCGTTTTCATTTGAAGGAATGAGAACGCAGGGGTGTCTCGAATAAAAACACAAGTAAAAATGAATCAACGTGATAATTCCCTACATAGTTTCTAGAATAAGTGGTGTAGTATATGATGCGTTCCCGTACCTAGGAACGAGAACATACATCGCGTTCCAGTTCTTAGGAACGGAACGAGAACGCGACACCTCTAATGGCTATATCGTTTGTCTTTTGTTATAGGCAGAACGAGAAAAGAATTCATTTTTTTGCCTGAACGATATTTTCCACTTGAAATGAACATTTATCAGACCGATCGATTATCTGTCTGTTGCTGAGGAGACAATGATGCATTTTCAGAGAGCTAACATTTTTCAGTTTTTCACACTGTATTAGGTCTTTTTCTGGTTTGAAAGAAGATATTTTTTCCAACATCACGAAATATGGATTGGTTGTACATTGTGGTGGACAATTGATCCTAGTAATGCATTCGAATATTTGTCGATTTTCCATGTCGTACTATATTTTGCAATATAATCTATGGTACCAATGAAATTTCATTTTCCTATGTCAAAAACAAAGCATACAGTTATAAATGAAGAAAACAATTAATATGTGCTATTTTAGAAATTCATAAAAAAAAACATTGTGCACTGTTTTATGTTTCAAATGTCAACAATCCAATGAAATTCACAGCAAAGTCTGTTTTTTTTCTCGTTTTTCTCATCAGAAGACTTCTCAACCATAAATAACAATATTCTTCACAATTATTTCTTCAAAATACAAAATGTTTTCAAAGGATTCAACTCTAATAATCTATCTGATCTATTAAATTAACCTTATCATTTGCTTAATCCTCTATGTAAATTCCTTCTTGTCTACTCGAATGAAGTCAGGATATAATTCAAAACTTGGATATAAACTAATCTCAATTGCTATTATTTTATTTTTAGTAATTTTTTCTTTATTTTCAAGAACACTCTAGTTATTCACTTGATCCCATGTCGAATAGAACGGTCCGTAAACGACAGCCGTTACGATGGCCAGTGGCATAGTGCCGGAAAACGATGGTCTTTTAGGTGGCGATTTCCGTGTTGTCGAAAACGACTACCTTATAAGGCGAATGCTTTTTTACCGCTTTGCATCTGTTTTATTTCGAGATATAAATATGCGTAAAATAGATAGCTACTTTGACACCCTCGTTCAACTTATTTTATTTCATTTTCTTTTCTTATATATTTTTATTTTTATTTTTATTGTGTATTATTCGTTCCCTTTTATTTCTTTTTATTTTATTTTATTTTATATTTATTTCACTTTATTTTTTAGATTATTTCGTTGTTTTTATTTTTCTTTAATTTTTAGATTATATTAGTGTTTATAATTTTTTTTGCCGACGGTCTTTTGTTTTATTTCATGCTATTTTGTGTGTAGACTTTTCTTTGGAAAATAACTATATAATAATATTATTAAATTAAAATGTTTAAAAAGTATAAATAACCAGAATAATTCGCATTTAAAACGGTGGAAACGGCGTGATCACGTCAGAATGGACGCAAATGGGGTGCTTTTATTAATGGGTGTACACTCGAACAACCAGTGGCGGTGGAGTCACTGAGACCCGTGAGGGTTGAGCCTCACATAGATTTCGCAAGAGGAGGCTCAGCCTCACTTGCTTTTGTACTGATTATTGCTATTTTTATTCTTGGATCAAGGTAGGAGCAAAGAAGAGTATATTTTGGTATTTTCCAATCTTCTTTTTTATACTGACCATTTTTATTTTTGCTGAAGTTCAATAAAAAGAAGATTTATTTTCTGCTTGATGCTTTCATAAAATTCCACATTAGAAAAAAAATATTATGAGCTTCACCTAGCCTAATGACGCTCCGCCGCCCCTACGAACAACAACACATCTTCAAGATAATTTCGTAGAGAGAAATGTGCATGAGAGCTGTTTTTGTAACTATTTATACGGCTCATAGAGTGGTGACTCTGTAAATCGATGAGACTCGCCATTTTGAGATCGAATATTCAATGCACGAAGATGATTAATTGATTCAATCAGATCAAGCATACATGTGGGTGTGGGTGTGAGCGTAGGCGAGAAACAAAAATAGCCTTATCGCACCCACATCAACACACTCTTGACATTGTTTCCTCACAATGCTTCATGATGTTACAGCTATGCTGATCACATGAGTTATGGAGTTTACCTATTTTTGGATCCCATACACAGTTGTCGAAACAAAAAAGTATTGTTACAGATAGTCTTAAATTTAATTTTAAATATTTATTAAACTGTGAAAACCATAGATATTTATTTATGAAAAATATATATTTCACTTCATTTTTTGTTTTAGTGGATTTCCTCGGTGTATTATGTTCGGTTTTGACCACGGCAATGGTCAATTGATTGGGCGATGTTGTCCGCAGCATGTTCGGTGTCACATCATGACAATACTGGCTTTCCCGTATTGGCCTTATTTTTTTGGTCAGTTTGCCATTGATCATTTTCATATCGTGTATTATATGAGGGCATGTTAAAGCAAATTGATATTGTGAAAGATATCTTATGATAGGTGATGGGGGCGTAACTATTTTCTCCGCTCACTCTCGAGATACAGAGATCGAAACTCTCATTGCTATCAATAATAAAACAGGAGCACAAATAATATCTCATGCGCTCTAACTCGATGTGCATTTGTAAGGAGCTCACATTGCGAATACCGAATCATTTTTTTGCGGCAACCCGCGGTATTTATCCTTCCTGTCGGTAAAGGGAGCTGGTAACCGGACCGGTAAAACCGTGGTTAACCGTCCATTTTCATGCGGTTTTTGTTACATGGGAGTTATCATTTAGTAATGAATGCAATCAATCGGGTGCATGTTTATTTTACATTGAAGAGTAATACGAATAGAGATCACTTTTTCAGAGGACTTTCTTTATTATCGAATCCATCATTACCTTTTATACATAGAGAACACTGAATGATAGCCTTCTAAGTCATTCAATTTGATTTTGAAAGGTAGAAAATACTACTCGCTCAATGAAAGATGTATCAGTAGATTTTGAAAGAAGAGTATTCTGGTACAAAAATTTTACGTTGTGTGATTAAATATCTACCAATCTATAACGAATATTGTCTGCAAATTATGATTAAGGAGAATGGAAAATAAAATTATTCTTTTTCAAACTAAGACCAGCTTATTTGAATAGTGGTTCCTATTCTTCTCGGACATAGTCAATGAACAAAACCGAGCATTCAATTATTCTAAACGTGTACTAACGATAAGTATTTGCTAACTGATTCATCAATGTACTTCATAGAAGTCTACTGTTTCCAAAAAAATGAAGCAAGAACATAAGCAGCGGTGATTATCGTTCCAAAAACTGTTTTCAGCGAGGCAGGTCGCTTGTTCATAGTCGACACTTGTATAATTGATTCGGTAGTAATATCAATAGAGACTAATCGAAACGGACATGGTCAGTGAAAGGAACAATGAATGCATAAATAAGTTCGAGAGTGAAGTTTTGGTGATACCATTTGATCAAACAATGCATTCATATGGTAATTAAAGTCAAAAGAACGAGCCAGAGCGAAATAAAATTGAAAAGTCGAATTATGTATATAGAGATTATAAAGACGTGAGTGCCAAGATAAAAACTCTAACAAGTACAGTATGAAGCCTTTGTTATAACACACCATAGAAATTTGTTTGACTTTTTCCGTTTTGAACTTTATAAATTTTTACTGCTAACATAGTTAAACGGCAATCACGAGAACGATGCATACTTCTGTTTGATGAAATGTTCTTTAGAAGACGTAGAAAAAATATGATAATCTAAATTCAAATATTGGTACTGTAAAGGTTAAAGTCGGTCAATAATATTTATTGCTGAACATCAAATCAAAAGATCATCTTGCGAATTTAACCATAATAAATCAAAAACTGGAATTTTACTATCGTACAGTACACGCAAGAGAAAGTAATTTGCATTTTTTTTCTATGATTGCGTGCCAAAAACGTTTGGATTACATCATTATTATTCGATACTCATAAATCTGAGCTAAAAATCATCAAAACTAATTGGCAAAAGCAAAAGAGAAAAAACAGTTGTATCATACCTGTTGTACTTTTTAGGTCACAATAGTTCGTCTCATATTCCAATGCTTGTTTATGTTATACTTTGATAAATTCGAGAGAAATTTCATTACGCAATTGTCAATATGATTGATCGAACCATTTGTTTGTATTATATAAAGAATATATAAACAACTCTAACTTGTCTACATGGTAGCAAAGATTCATAAACATCATTTTTCCAAAGAACTATAGGTACACATCGTTCAAAAACAATGAATACATTCAGCACAAAAATGTACCAAACATAGTGACAGCAAATCGTGCAAAATCGAGAGTAACAACTTTGACATATTCTTCATAGATTGTTTTTCTTTTATTTCTGACATCATGAATATGATCTTTTGAACAAAAAAGAAAAAGAAAAGAAGAAAAAGACAGAAAAAGAAAAGAAAAAAAGACAAAAAACGAATAGTGCTATGATGGTTTGTGTAATTTAGGCTGCACACAAAGAGAGAAAAACAAACAAACAAACAAACAAAAAAAGACAAAAAGAGGACGACGATCAGCATCAGCAGTACAACAATTAAGTAGCAAGAAAGAAAAAAATTCAGAGAACAAATATAAGTATAGTGTATATATGAGTATGTGTGTGTGTTTCAAAAAAATTCAAAAAACAAAAAAAACATGTGAAAATATGTGTGTATATTACACACAAAAACGTGAATAATGGAAGATGGTATTGATGTTGATTGTCGAAACAATCTAATGAACTGAAGAGGGAAAAAACGCGATCGACCACACACACACACACACACTGTTCACAGGTCGCCGCACGCATCTAAATTTTTTTCTCTCTGTTTAGAAACAAATAATGTATCGAAAGATGAAGCCAATGGGTTTTCTTTTTTATAAAAACAAATTTCAATAGAACGAAACAAAAAACACGTCTAGATAAAGAAATAGCTAGGAACAGGCGCTGTACACTGAAGAAAAAAAAGATACAGAAAAAGAGAAAAATATGAGCACGTTATCATTTTTTCGTGGCACGTGCTGATGATGATCGGCCTGCATCAGTACCAGTGGGTAATTGTTGTTTGGAATTATTCGATGCTGATTGTGGTGGCTGCATTTGTTGGAAATTTTTAGGAGTTCGTCGGTATACAGCTAAAATAAATAGGAATTGATTATTTTTATCAGTTTATCATTTGACAAAAACAAAACATAACAAGGAGCAAAAGCAGTTCGAATAGAAAATATAGAAATGAATCGAAAGCAACGAAAAAGTTTAAGCCATGTAAATAATATATGTGACATCTTTAGTAGCAAAAGAACAGTTTGGCAAACACAATAAATTCAATTTTACTAGCTCACTGTGTTTCTCTCTTTCTGTTAATTGAATCTTTTATTATTACAACTATTTTATTCTGGATTTGTTCGACGGTCGCTCAGTCTGATCAAAGTCTAAAGAAAATAATAACATAGAAACAAATCTTCCCATAGATCTTCGATGATAAGTTAGAAACGATATTAGATTGTTGTGAGATAAAAAAAACTATTTAAATAACAGCAGCAATAAGATAGAGGAAAAAAGGAGATTCATAGAAAACAGCAGCCGTATTTTGGTTGATAAGTATTTGATTATTTGAACATGCAGCTCACTCTGGAAAATACGGGTAAACACATTTGAAGGTGATGGTGTTTTATCGATCTGTTGAGGAACCAACCTTGTCATTTTACTATCATCATTAATATTTGAAGATGATTTGTCGGATTTTTCATCTTTAGTATCTTCATGAGATTTTTGATTCACCACTTTTCCATTATTATTATCAACGTTCATACTTATCGATTGACCGTGTGTCGTTCGATCATTTACATCAAGGGTTTCTATTCTTAGCACGAAAAAATTATTGTTTTTTTTTATGTATAAGATATGACGAGTGATGGATATTTTGGAAAATAAAAACAAATGTTTTCTTTTTTTTTTATCAACTGACCTTGGTTGGTTGTATACATTTGTTGTGCACTTTGTTGCTGTGTACCACTAAAACCATTGGTATCAAGTTTATTAGTCGATCCTTCATTAGCACTGTTCGTATCAAAGCGTTGGCCGCTCTAAATAAAATAACAAATCAATAAAAATCTTAATACATTCTTTTGAAAAATCTCTTACAAATTTGAGCATATTCCAATCAAATATATAATCATAGGTAAAACCTTGTCGATGAAATAAATTACGAAATAATTGTCGTAAATATCTAAACGTTAAAAGATTCAGTAAACAAAAGAAATTTTCTAATTTAAACATACGAATAATCTGGTTTATCATCAAAACGTAATGAACGACAATAAGATAGATAAGTAGTAAATTCAGCTAAATTTAAAGACGCCATCAAATTAAGTTGATAAGTTAAAAACATTTATCCTACCAGGAAATCCTTTACATAGTTCTTCAATAGGTGTCGACATTTTCTTTTCACTGATACGTTCATATTTTTGACGTTTAGTTGCTGCTTTCAAACCTTGCCACTAGAAATTTTTATTTTAATATTTACTTAGAGAAGAAATGTAATAAAAATAGAAAAATATCATACTGGAAGACTGCCACGATTAAAATACATTAGTACATAACCGAGTGACTCCATATCATCTCGACGACTTTGTTCTATTGAAAAGAATAAGAAAAAAACAAAAACAATTGTATTGTATAGGGTTTATTTTTAGTAGTTGACGTGTACAACTATTTAGCGAGATGCCATTAGTAAGATATCATCAAATAGTCATATAAATAAAACAGCTGGTTTCCAATTCTTCCGTAGTAATTTATATTCCCATGATATCTCTCGGCAAGATCGTATTGTTTAGAAAGAGAAAAGAAAGTCTGATTTCTGACAAGGCAGTCTTTTGAACGTGTTCGATAAAAATAATCTCCAGAGAAAAGCAGTATATAAAAATAAAACCCATTTTACTAGACTCAATGCCAAAAATAGATCTGCTATCTTTCATATTTATGAAGCAAAACAAAAATGTAAAATAAAACAAACCAATTCCAAGATGTGTATTGATTGAAGCATAACGTGCTGTTCCAGTGAGATTTTTATTTTCTCGATATGGTATATGTTGATGTGTACGTGCATCTCGATATTTCTTTGCAAGACCAAAATCAATGATATACACAAGATTGCCTTTTCGCCCGAGACCCATTAGAAAGTTGTCTAAAGAAATTTTATAAATGATTTGGAATTCGTAATTTCTTTTATATGTACCTGGTTTGATATCTCGATGAATAAAATTTTTCGAATGAATAAAATCGATACGACTGACCTGAAATTTGTTTTAGAAAAACAAAAAACCATCGGTTATTTCCGAATAAAAACAGTTATTCTCATACCATTTGATCAGCCAGTAATAGAACAGTTTTGAGCGAAAATTTTCTTGAACAAAAATTAAATAAATCTTCCAATGAAGGTCCAAGCAAATCCATAACAAGAACATTATAATCGCCTTCAGCACCACACCATTTAATTAATGGTATACCAACTCCACCTTGCATCATTCGATAAATTTTCGATTCAATATGCAATTGAGGATGTTTCGTACGAACGCATTCGAGTTTAATAGCGACTTCTTCATTCGAAGCTATATTTGTACCAAGATAAATATCACCAAATGAACCTGAACCAATTTTCCGGCCAAGTCGATATTTATGACCAACACGCAACTCCATTTCTATTTGATTTTGGGGGAAAATATATATAATGAGAAGTGGAAAAGATTTTTTTTTTGTAGAAGTCTTCTTTTTGTTTTGTTTGGGAAATATGGGATAGGTTATTGACGATTATTCATCGTTTATGTTCTTGGCTATTAAGAGAAAAGGAAATCTGAAAAGTAGAAAAAAAAAATTTCAGTTGATGCGCAGATGCATTGAACCATCAGCATAATTTCGCCTCTTTTACAAATGACGTTATTTGTTATTTGTTTTCTCTGAATATGTTTCTTTGTGCAGTCTGTTGAAACCAATCAGTTTATAGATGCGCCACATGTCCGCATGATTTCGGCGATGTGTGGCGCTAGTTATATATTTATGTTTAGAAGTATATTATTTCTCAAGAGAAAAAAACATCATGATTATTACAGTTATTATTGTGGATTTTGACTCACAGGAAAAAATGATTGATCTTATTGATTAGTTCTATTCCGTTTTAGCCTAAAAAAATACTGTCACATGGAATTGGGAGAACTTCAAACTCTTATAAGTAAATCTATTGAACAGATAAAACCTGATCAAATTGTTTCACTTATTAATTGGCTCGATGGAGAAATTTCAAAATATCGAATAACAGCACTATGTAAGTAGTTCGAAAAAGAAAGATTTTAGCAAGAAGAATTTATGTACAAGTTTACCATTGGAATTTTTGTTGTAAAATTTCTAATTTTCTAAAAAATTTTCGTAAGCTTTTGAATTTAACAAGAATTGAAAATTTTGACTGTTGACATTATAGATCTAATGTACGGAATTTTTTTATTACCAAAGTAATTTGAGTGTCGAAAAATTCAAAGTTTTACTATTTTCACGTGTATTCTTATTATTAAAATAAATTCAAGTTCTATTTTGAATATTAGTAGAATCATCTAGGATAAATATTTCTATTGAAAATTCTTTTTGTTTGATTTCTCTTATAGAAAAATTTCGATATGGTTGAGATGTTGAAATAGATTTCATTTTAGGCAGCAAAACAAAACAATTAAACACTAATAGTCTATAGCTAGAAATGTTTTCTTGTGACTTATTGATAAGCATGGTAGGCAGTAATCGATTAAGATAAGAAAAAATAACAACAGAACAGCTAAGTAACACAGTGTGATAGTATACTTCCGTTTAGAATCTTGTTTCCTATACTTTCAAATGTTCTTCCAATAGAAGAAAAACGATGTTTTGTTTTAAATAAAATATGCATTAGGATACTAATTTTCATTCCAGTATCAACACCGACTCAATCAGTAATAACTCCTAAAATCAATAATGGTCAACGTTTTGTATGTACTTGTGGTCGATCTTATGCTGCCGAAATCACGATACGTGAAACAACCAATGTTGAAACGAGTTCTCCACCTGCTACGCCTATGTTTTTGTTCAAAAACGATCTCAAACATCAACAATTGTCACAAGAATCTATGTCAAAACGACCGAAAGTATTAATGGCTGAACCATCAACGTCTCTTATTCCAACGACAAATACCACCACAACAACATCATCAACATTTTCTGATCGATTGAATGCACAAGCAATTGTTTCGAATTGGCAAATAGCAAATCTGAAAGCGTATGAAAATAGTCCAGGTTTGCATGAAATTTGTTTTTTTTCTATTTATTTTATGGGAAAAAAGCTTTGTTTTTCTTGCAGAATTGATAGCAGCCGAGTCGAATCGTGGTGAAAGTGATATCGAATTATCAAGTGATGATTCAAGATGTTTAGATGATATTGACGCTGTTTTATCGCCAGATAAAAATACAGTATCGAATTTTATCTATTCGAGCAGTCTATGGCCACCATCTCTATCACCGACAAATGTTTGTTTGTCGTATTCAAATCATAACCATGAAGATCGTCGACCAGAACAACAGCATCAACATCAGCTACTGCATCAACAGACGATGAACATTAAACAAATAAGCAATGAACCATTATCACCGATACCTGGTCTTATTCATGATGGAGAATCAAGAAAACTAGTGGCAACAATACATCGTCGGCCGATGCTTGTTGCTTTTACCGATCCAGAAGCTTGCTCACCGGCAGGACCGACTCATTTTAAATGTACTCAATGTCATGAAACATTTGATAGTTTACTACTTGGACAAGAACACGCCAATAATGGCATGTGTACAACTGATAATACAGTTAACGTATGTCAACGATTGGTTTTACTTATATTGTGACTAAAAAAAAGTCGAACAACTTAAAAGTTCGTCAAGCGAACAGAAGTCGCCTCATGAAGGCATTTTCTATGTGATATCTATTGAGAATAATTCAAGTTTTGCTAGAGTTATTTATACTTTGAAAGACTAGCATTTGAAATTCTACTTTAATAGATATCTATAAAGTTCTAAAACTAATAAATGCATATAATCATTTCTTCATTGACTATTACCATGATTGTATGTAATCTTTACATACAGATTTGTTTGAATTCCTATTTTTCTTTTAGGTACTGGAGAATTCTGATTCTCATGTATCACCGGCAACCCCATTATTTGATTCTCTTCAAGAAAATGTGGTATAGAAAAAAACACAATTTTCTCAATAAATTTATTGATTATTTTCTTTTCTTTTTTATCTAATTAGGACGAAGTACTGAATTCTCGTCTAGATTCAAAATCAGCATGTCCCATTTGTATGATGATAAAATCTTGGACAGGAACATTTCATTCTAATAAAATCCTTTTTTTTCTTCTTCTTCTCATAATCTAGGTAATAAAGTATTTAGTAGTGTTCATACAATGATTCGCCATAGAACATCAATACATGAAAGACAAGTTCGATATGGATGCAATATTTGTGGTCGTTTCTTTTTTCGTAAAGATAAGTTAACTTCACATATGGTTTATCATCAAGATTTTGATACCTATGTTTGTTGTATTTGTTCACTTGGCTGTAAATCACGTATGTTAATGAGACAACATTTAAAACGAGAGTAAATATTTATTAAATTTTGTAAAAAAAACAAAAGAAAATCCTTTCTATTCTCATTTTAGTCATACGATATCAGGTGAAGATACCGGTTTTAACGAAATACTTAGCCGTTGTCAAGTTAAAAAGTCATTGAATCTAGAAGCAAACATGTCTGTTGCATATGGTGCTGATAGACAAATAACGCCGTTGAAACGAAATATAAATATCATTTCAACCGAAACCGATATTAAGCGAACGACGAGTAATTAATGTTTGTTACTTTTTATTGTATATAAGTCGTCATACAGTGGGCGCTATAGTTTTTTTTTTCGTTTTCTTCTACTCTGATGTAGCCTTTAGATATATGATCATCTACCTGCTGATTGTACATTATATATATATATATATATATATATATACACTTCTTTTTCTTGTGTTTATACGAGACGATCTATTGGGAAAACAAGAGCTTTAACTTCAAAAGACACAAACATTAAATATGCGAAAATTTAATTATTATTGAATTTTATTTTTCATGACTAATTGTTGTTTTCATAATGGCAACGTTCAATCTGATTAAAGTACGTTTTTTCTCGTGATGATCGAATTCATTTTTATTTAAATGAAATTTATTGGTCAATGTATGTTTCATTCCGATGCGAAGAAATTTTTATATAATAAAAAAGAAGAAAGTTCAAAACAAATGAAATGATAGTCAGAGAAAGAATATTTTTCAACGTCTTAAAAATCCGATTTCTTGAAAAGATCGTAAATCTGTCACTTGCTTATCTTTCACTTTCAACGAATTAGTACGATAGAGAAAGAAACTCGATTCGTTTTCATGTATTTATTGTTCTGATGAATGCAAAAAGAAATTATACTTTGAAGAACTGAATAACCCCTGAAGATTATCAGATTTTGGCTAAGAATCATTATAAACGTCATTCTTTTTCTTTCTTCCAACTCACTACGATGATACCTGATACTATGCATCAACGTAATTTCTTATGTTATACAAAGTAACATAATAATCATGTTTATCAATTAGTTTGTAAAGGGTCGTACAGGTACGATATTTCACTTTTGTTGACCCGATATAAGCCAGTCGATAGACATACGTCAATATGTAGTATTAGTTTTCAATATACATAGTTATATATATATATATTATAAAAGCAAAAGAACATACAAACTATGTTTATCGTAATGATGACTCAGAAGCTGGTGAATCTCCTAAGGTTATTCTATATTGAAAAACAAGTCGGTTTCTTTCGCTTAGCGAAAGAAACAGAATACACATACAGCGATGTCAACGATTTCATGGTCTATCTCTGTAATCTATCATACTAGGAAAACTAACGCATTGGTAGATTTACGATGCTATCCAGTGGTGGTTTTTTTGAAAGAGCAAAATTGATTCGATTTCGTCCAACTCCATGATAAATCTCTCGGTAGCATTTGTCGGCAAGGAAGTAAACGTGGATAGAATATTTTTATAGTTATCCAATAATAAATTACTTTATTATGATTTACATTAAGACAGAGCAAATATCTCTATTGGCAAACTAATAAAATTCGATAGTAGTATTATTATTATTCACGATTGACAGCATACGATCTTAATAGAATAAGTCATGCTCAAAATTTTTATTTTACATATTAAAGACGATAATAATTTGTTTTTTGTCATATCTTCCGAAACGATCGATGTAAAAATTATATAACATTCGATTATAATCGGCTTCAGTTGTAAGCTTTTACATAAGAACGAAATTTTGTTATGTAAATTTCTTTATTGACATTTGTTTTCGTCATATTTCGCTAAAGCTTTTGTATTGTTGATTCCCGAATAATATTTAACTGCTTTTTGTTTTTTATGAATCGTTTATTTTACTCAATATAAATTCGAATGAAAATAATAAAGATCATAAATACATGAATAAATAATCTTTTATGGAAAAGAAAATAATGTCACTCGATTGACCAAATATGTCAAACTTGAAAGTTGAATGCAAATGAAAATTGAAATTTTTAACTTTTAAACCAATAGCATTCTGAATAATCGTGACTCGTACATACGTATATCGCAATGAATTGAAATTTAAAATTTTCTATTTTCAACTGAATTCAAGTTTCAAGTTCGACACTACGGTGATTGACATCGGTAGTGATTCATTCGAATGACTAGGAATTCGAAGTAATTATGTTACAATTTATGAAAAGACTTTCATCATATTGCAAAAGGATGATTAATATTGACTCACAGAACATTCTCGAATTAGAATTTCGTATAGATTTTTTTGTTCGTTAAAAACCTTTTTGAAATTTTTATAAATGTTAAAAGAAAGTTCTTAAGAAGTTTTATTTCAAAAATTAAAAAAACAATTACAAACTATCAACATTATTCAAAAACATTTTCGATGGACAATCGATGGACCTGATTCATCATATTCATGTTTTGAAATCCACATTGCCTCAAATGTTGATAGTGAACTAAGAATAGAACCACCGATCCATACTGCGTATTTTCTTTCTGGTGGAGCAATAATTTTAACTTTCATAGCCGATGGAGCTAACGATGTCATTTCTTTTCCCATGCGATCAGCAATGCCAGGATACATAGTTGTGCCTTAAAAAGAATAAAAGATGAACTACTGTTACTTAGCAAATTATATGAACTACTTTACCTCCTGATAGAACAATATTGCCATATAATTCCTTTCGTACATCGATATCACACTTCATAATTGTATTATAAACCATTTGAGCAATACCTTCTTGCTCACGGCCAATCATTGATGGTGTAAAAAGTGCTTCGGGACATCGAAAACGTTCATTTCCAATTGTTATCATTTGACCATCGGGTAATTCATAATTTGTTTCGATACTATTCGATGAGATAGCAGCTGCTAAATCGTGTTCGAAGTCTTGTGAAACATAACAATATTTTTCTTTTATATCACGAACGATTTCACGTTCAGATGTTGTTATAAAGGAATAACCGCGTTCAGTTAACAATCGAACCATCCAATCTGTAAGATCTCGTCCAGCTAAATCTAGACGATTGATTGCATGAGGTAAAGCATAACCTATCAATAAAATGTGTTGTCAAATCGAAGCAGAACAATAGACAAACAAGTCTTTACCTTCATAAATAGGGACCGTATGTGAAACACCATCACCACTATCAAGAACAATACCTGTAGTTCTACCACTGGCATAAAGTGAAAGAACAGCTTGAATGGCAACGTACATAGCTAAATACAAAAAAGCAAAAGTGGTGAAAAAAGAGCTAGACAAAGAAGAAACATACATGGCGTATTAAATTGTTCGAAAAGAATTTGTGTCATTTTTTCACGGTTAGCTTTTGGATTCAACGGTGCTTCTGTAATTAAAACTGGATGTTCTTCTGGTGCTACACGAAGTTCATTATAAAATGTATGATGCCAAATTTTTTCCATATCATCCCAATTATTAACAATACCATGTTCGATTGGATAGCGGATCGTTAAAATACCCTTTTTCGATAATGCTTCATCGCCAACATACGATTCTTTTTGACCCATACCAGCCATAACAGCATTATAACGTGGGCGGCCAACTAATGCTGGAAAAACTGCACGCGGCGCATCTTCGCCACCGAAACCGGCTTTGACCATACCAGAACCATTATCAATAACAATAGGATTTAATGGTTCAACTGCGGTGAAAGACATTTTACTTGAATGAATTATTCTTAGAATGAAAATATTGTTGTAATATCATTTTGAATAATAATTTTCAATTATATACTCTACTAACATGATTAGCCTTTGACTATTTAAGGTATTCAGTGTTTTCTTGCTTATCTATTTGTTATAGATTGACTCATTGAAATCTAGATTGTGCAATTCTATCCTTTTGATAACAGGTAAAATGAAGAATACCAAATAAGGAACTGGCTGTTTATCAATTGTCAAGATTGCCTTGATGTCACAGATGGCGAATGAATTAAATATTGTTTTGTTTGTGTTGACATTGAATTTATAATGTAGAAAATATTTTGATCAATAAATCATAACTATCGTCATTTGAAAGAATGGGCCAGAAGAAAAGTAGACCCTCATCAGCGCCTCCACTTGATCAAACTGTTATTCGTCGTATAACACGTGCAACATCATTTTTACCTGATGAAATTCAGTATTTTTATTATGATTTTCTTAAATATACACCAACTGGACATTTAACATTGGCTGATTTTGAAAAACTTTATCAAGATTTATTTCGTTATGGCAAATCAGAAAAATTTGCTAAATATGTTTTTGATGCATATGATACGAATAAAGATAATATTGTCGATTTCGAAGAATTTATTAGAGGTTTATATTATACAACGAAAGCAAAAACAAATGAAAAAGTTCAATGGGCATTTGATTTGTGTGATCGAGGTAATTACAAAATATCTTATTTGAATTATAAACTTACCTTCTTTTTAGTTAGCTATATAGATAACTCAGTAGTAAATTGAACATGTACCATTCGAGTGATAGCAAATAGAAGAAAAATTTCTGTCAAAACAACTACTTCAATTGAGTTAACAAATTTACTGTTTTCGGCAAATGCTTTGAAACGTTCGACAGAAAATTCTAATTAGATCATAAACATAACGACTAAAAATAGACGTCTCATGAATATGCAATTATTTGCATTTTCTTTTCATGCAGATAAAAATTATTTCTCAAAATGATTCACTTCCTAGCGATCGATGCAATATAACTAGTTAACCTATAGTTTTTATAATTTTAATTTTGATTGACAGATTCAAGCCGTCAACTTGATCTTGAAAAACTTCAAGACATAATCGAAGCACTTTATGAATTATCTGATGCTGACATGGCACGAATTGAAACATATGACGAAGCAATGGAACGTATAAAACTTTTACTTTTAACAGACGAAGGTGATGATGGAATTGACAAAGCTCGAGAAAGTGTAACAAAAGCTGAATTCATGGATATTGTTCAAAGTGACTCAGCTATTATGAAATTAATTGATTGCCACTCAACAATCAATAAACGCGGAAGTAAATCAGAACATTCTACAGGTTCATTTAAAAAACAATTGAAATTCAAACCTCAGTTAAGTAAATCATTATCAGATTCACGATTAACAACTTTAAACAGAAACCAATAAAACAATGATTAGAAGAAGAAAAAACGCACAGCAGACATTTTTATGTTATTTTAAAACATTGTTAACAACGCAAAAACACAGTAAAATAAAGCACACGGATAGGCAACAAGTAATTGTTGTCCTATCATTGATAACGATGTAGCAAAAAGTTTTGATGCTGATATCGAACACCAAATAATAAAAACAATAGCAAGTACCATATTAATAAAACCATTAAATTTAAATAAAAACGATGAAAATGATAGAATAACCATAGGTAAAAGACAATAGCCCAATACACTTGTTACAAATAAACCTGAACATGGTTTATCTGGTGATGACATAAGATTTAATAAGCCATACATTCCAAATGTTCCCAATGCAACAATACCATAGACATAACCAAAATTTATTTTGCCTAATAATAAAAGACTACATGCAAATGCAAGACAGAATACAAGTGGACCAGCAAGATCAACATCGTCAAGTATTGATAAATCCGGTGTTGTAAATGGATTTAAAACCGATTTCGTTTTTTTAAATATATGATCGAAATTAATTCCTAATTCTTCTAATAGAGGTGGTTCATCACATTCATAATTGTTTTGATTTGGCGTTCCTTTTGGTGACAGATATTCATCGGGGCGATAGAATACATTATTGTGTACTTGAGAATTTAAATTATAGGATGATGGTATAAAATTACCATTTGAATATTGAGTATACGATTGAGAATAGGCATAATTTTGTTGTTGCAAGTCAAAAGATGTCGGTCCTGTATATTGCTGATTATATGCTGAGGGATTAAAAATATCCTTGGAATTCCACGACATATCTAGAATGACTAGGAAAATACTATACTGATCAAGTTTCTACGAGAAAGCAAGGATATGAAAAAACAAATCAGCATAACAAATCGAAAAAAAAGAAAAAAACAATTGAGCCTATTTCTTTGCTGCATTCAAACCACCACCCGTATTTGCTTTAAAGTAAATAATATCGCCATCTTCAACAGTATAATTTTTTCCTTGCTGTCGATATTTTCCTTCAGCCTACAATAATATTCATATAAATTCAATATGATTGGTCAATTATTTTCGGATATACTTTAACAGCATTTTCAGTTCCATATTCTTTAAAATCTTCATATTTCATAACTTCAGCCATTATAAAACCTTTTTCAAAATCCGTATGAATACGTCCGGCGGCATGTGGAGCTTTTGTTCCAACTTGTATTGTCCATGCTTTGACTTCATCTTTTCCACATGTAAAAAAGTAACATAATTGTAATGCTCGATAGCCAGCAAGAATAATTTTTTCGAAAGCACTAAATAAAAGTTTTTTTTTTAGTTAAATAATAAAATTAATAGTGTTAGGATAACTCATTTGCACGTCTACGACGGATTGTTCAATTGCTACACAATGAAAATTTACCTTGGTACTCCTGATTCTTTTATAACTTTTTCACTTTCTTCAGCCGGTAAATCAACCAAACGATATTCATAATTAGCACTAAATGGTATTACTGTTGCGCCTGGATCATGTTCATCAATCCATTGTTTCACTTTACCTAACCATTTATTTTTCTTCTTAATATAATCTTCTTCGGACATATTCAATAAATAGACCATAGGTTTCGATGTATTAAATAAATGTTTATTAAGTACTTCAATTTCTTTTTCATTCCAATCATGAAAACGAACACTGCCTTTTCCTTCATTCAACAAATGTAAAACTTTATTTATTGTTTCCTATTGGAAAAATCTTCTGAATAGAATTTCTAAATAAATTCGTATCTTACATAATCAATTTTAAGTGTTTTATCATTTCCACGAACGACTTTTTTTTCTAAATCTTCCACTACTTTTTTTGTCAATTCAAGATCTTTCAATCTAAATTATAGACTTCTTATTTTCTTATGTTTAAAATCTAAAATTCCATGAACCTTAATTCATCATGAATGATTTCCATGTCACGTATCGGATCAACATTACCTTCGACATGAGCTATATCAGGTTCATCAAAGATTCGAACCATATGAAATATACCATCGCATGCTTTTATATGTGAAAGAAATGCATTACCAAGACCTAACGCAAACGTGAGATTTTAGTAGCATCATAGAAAATGATTTCATACCTTGACCTTCGCTTGCGCCTTTCACAAGACCAGCAATATCAACTACCTAAATGTAAAAGAATATAGAACAAGAAAAATGAATGCAGATTATTTTACATTTAGATATGCCGGTTGTTTACTAAAATACAAGAAGACGCATATAAATAATGTCACAAGCTGAAAGATTTGTAACAACGAAATACCTTAATGGTTCATAATGTTGACATAAAAAGTCAAATCGTGAATCAGGTACAGATACGCGACCTGAAAAGAAAAGAATACCGTATAATTGATAGCAAAAGTTTGTCAGTTGAATATTACTTTCATTTGGATTGATCGTGCAAAAAGGAAAGTTTTCAGCAGGAACACTCGATTTTGTGAGAATATTAAAAAAAGTAGATTTTCTATTAGAATAAAAATAAATATTACAAGTGCGTACAAATTAAATTAATATTAACCCTGCGTTTGGTAAACCAACGATACCCATTTTAAGATTAGTACCAAGTCGGCCAATCAATGGCTTTGGTTTAGGCTCTTCTTTCTTTTTTGGTGGCATATTTCCTACGTATGTTCTTATCTAAAAACAAAATAATAGACAAATCAGTCATTATTAAATATAAGAAAGCAAACAATACAATGACTTTTTCTGAGCTTAGCATTATTCACATTTGCTTTATTATTGTAATCAGACTAACTTTACAGAATATTTAGAAATTGTGAAATAGACTTCTTTCTTTTATTTTTCATAGGTGGTGCTATTTAATTAATAATAATAATAACTCGTCGGAATCTGAATACTTTTCATGTTTTGAACATAATATATTCGAGGAAAGAAACAAAATTTGTAGATTGTATTGTGCGGTTTCATGAATGACATACCATTCTCACACAATTTTTAGTCTGTAAAGAAAGGATTGCATTTTTATGGATTTAATAAGAACTTTTAGGATTGACTAGTATCTTCTCTGTAGACGATATCCTATGATCAACTAAGTCTATTGTTCCGCTATGGATTTTTATCAAACGCTTACAGATAATTTTGACAGTACATTCAATATGAAATCCAATAATACGTGTATCTATCCTCATCTGTAGAGGTAGAAGCCACGTGCTGGACCAGATAAAGCAGTCTATAATTTTGTTTGTGTTCCATCGCTTTACATCGAGAAGTCTCTGGCAAAGAGATATTTCTCTAACATGTTGAATAGAATACACTCCGCTCAAAATTGGCAAGAGAAATTCTTTTTTTTTTTGTAATTGAACATAAAAAAAACAATAGAAAATGAAACGAGAGAGAAAGAGATCATTTATTTTTACATTCTTTATTCTACTGCTAAAATACGAACAATACTTATAGGAATATATAATATCGATAAGAATCCAAAATATGACATTAGACTTTACTCGTTGCTGTTGTTGATGATGCCATTGTGCTCAACATAGTTGTTTCAATCTTCGAGTTAATATTATTATCTGATACATGAAAAAATACCATCATAATACAAATAGCCATAAATAAATGTGCAAATAGAACGACTAGCATTGATAAAGCATTAAAACTTTTTCGGTCAGAATCAACTGATGGCCAAAATGCTACTATTAAAACACTTCCACTTATGACTGATGCTATTATTGTTAGTAACCATTGCAGCCACGCTATTGGTATCATCCATAGAATCGAAACAGGAATAAATATTGTTAAACTGTAACCATAAATGCACAATAATTCGAGAAATGTATATTCATTACATTTAATATAATAGCGAAAGAAAAAATAGACAACTGTAGGCATCGACCACCAATAAAGACAGATGAGCTGAAAAAGCACAAAAAACAATAATTTGAACAATCTATCATTTAAATTTTATTTTCTTATACCTTTACATACTTTAGAGAATTTGAGGACAAAAAGAAAAACTATTCCAAAAATTCTAAACTCTCGTTTTCAGTGACTAAAAATTTATTTTTGGTAACACAGAATGACAATATTTGACTGAATTAATTTTTAAGTGAAGTCAAATTTTCCTAATAACATATCTAACTTACAGAATGGATACTTAGAGTTTTTGTAAAATTTAGGAAGATTAAAATCTTTATGTTTGCTATTACTTACAATAGCTGATAAAGTGATCTTGGAAAAATCGATTTGAAAATCAGTATCAGGTAATTGAAAATATGCAACAATGTTTCCACTAATAGCCACAGTTATAATAAATGTAACACACACCCAAAAAGGCCCATATAAATCAGGATTATGTCTGATTGTTGAATTAAAATAAGATCTATTAGGCTTTGGCGTTATTGAACCAAGTAAACGCTCAAGTACTTGTTGTGTATCGATTTGGAAATATTTTTGATAATACTCTAGTTGCCAAATATGTAATTGTTCATTGTTTGTATTATTCTTATTCGTTGCTGGTAACGGAAGAGATAAATTTTCTTCATTGGCTGGTTTATATGCATAAGATTGAGTAATATTCGATTTATTATCTAATAAAAGATCATCATCATCATCATCGTCATTGAGATCAACTGCAGAATTTGGAAACGATGTAAACAAATGAGTTTGACTCGGACCTTTACTAGGAGGTTGATCAGTTAAAAATCCATCGCTGGAAAACATCATTGAGATAAATTAATCGACTAATCTGGTAGAAGGATACAACATATTTATGAATGCATATTACTCTACGTTTATTTTCGCATATTATTGGATAAAATATTCCAATTAGAAAATAGTATACTAGCGACAATTGAGATTCGCGTTGTTGAAAGATAAAATTCAATAGGGAAACATATTTTGTTGCGAGTAATCGTTGGAAGATTTCTCTTACTATTGCTCGATAATGGAAACATTGATTTTTCACAACCAATAGTAACTATTATTAGTAAAGCGATGGGTGCTGATATAGAAAACGTTACTCAAAAAGTGAATTACGTACTTAAAAAATTCCTAAAAAAGTTGGAATTTCTATAAAAAACATGAAATTTATAAACCATAGATAGAAATCGATATGGCCAATTAGCAATACGTAATTTCTTATTTAAGTCATGCGTTTTATTCTTCATTTAAGTTTTTATAACCGAGAAGAGTGCTATTTCGTTTGTTTGTATCAATGAAAATGATGCTTATATGTTTTTATAGTTTATACTTTCGTGCAAACTATCGGTACATTAAGTCATATTAATACTAAAGATCAGAACCATTTGTCCTTTAGACACGCAATATATTCAGCTGATGTCAAGTTCAATATTACAAAATGCTACACTTGATAGAGATAGTATGTATATCGAACAGCTGTAATAAAGTATATTACTGGAGAATCTAAACTTTCTTCATTGCACATCAGTTAAACGAATTTCGACTAAATAAAAAGGCAATCGCGGTGGATTATTGCTCGAATCGATTCACTTTCTCTCATTCTTACCTATAAATATGCGTCATTATAAAATGATATGAAGCGTATATATTTGACTTTTTCGCTGTTGAATATAATGATTCAACTAACACTTTCTACAATCAATCATATAATGTTACATTAGAGAAACTATCAAAAATAAAGATGGCCATGTCATTTTTATTGTAACACTTGGAACAAAAGGAAGAAAGAGACGAACAATAAGCCGTTCAGTCATGAAAGGGAACGTATATCAACATCGATTTACAAAAGAGAACATTCCTATGGTCTATTTAAATGTACCAAGTGACGAAAAATTAGATGATACTGACCGACCACGTACTGCTTCATATACTGAACGACTTAAGCCACTTGCTAAACGTATTCCTTCAAATGCAAGTCTTCCATGCGCCGCTTATCGTAGTCGTAAACCGTCAAATTCAACTGGTAGACCTCGATCGGTGACATCAGATTTAAATGTTTATTATACACCTATGATCAGTGATGATGATGATAATAATGATAATGAACAACGAGAACTTATAATGTCACAAGTTGTTCCAGCAGCTGACGCATCATCTGTCATAGAAAATAGTCTTTCAGAAAATGAAAACGATCTCATCGAGCTAGGCAAACACTGTCGATTAAGTATTTTATTTCAAGATTCATATTGGTCAAATCATCCATTTTCACTTAAAGGGTATATAAAACAAAAGTTTCTTAGTATTGTGTTGTCTATTTTTTGTTACCGATTCCAATCGATTCGATTCTGTTGATTGATGAATAGTGTCTAGAAAATGCGATCTTAGTACTCTATTTGAATGATTGATCTATAATAAACGTGTAGATGTTGGTGATATTGAGCTATTGATGAATAATTACTACGATTAACGGTTTTGCCATTTAGATAGTTGTTTTTCAGTAGATGAAAATTACTAATTATTGAATTCTATTTGAACAGAAAGAAACAGACCGCTTATTTTCGCACCTCTAAACGTTCTTTTTTCTGTTTGTAAGCTAATAAAGTGTGTCAAATGAGAACAAAATTTATTAGTAATCATTTTTTGATTTTGTTTATTTACAGTCAGAAGTGAATAGCGGATCTGATAAAACTATAATTTAACATGCACACCTTGCAGATTCAATCTTTGATCGATAGTCTTGGTTCACTTTACTCAACTATAAATTATATTTTCTTAAAACTTCAACAACGGTTCAATTTTTTTGTAGTGTAAGCGCATTTATACCGAATAAAACAAGACCAAACAGGCGTAGAGGCAGTCGTATCTATATGTCATGGACAAATTTGCGGGTTTTCTTTCTTTGAAAACTCGCATGTGAAATAGGTACACCTGTCAATTGCAGTTTTTCTCTCTATTAAAAATAAAACCCTACAGGTGTATATTCAACACTCATTTTATTAGATAAGAGCTAATAGCTTTTCTAGTGGAACGTTTTGATTCATAAGGAGGATTGGAATCATAGGCAAATATAATAATTTTAGCGAACAAACGTCAGCCGAAAAAAAAAATCATCAGATTTTATCTTAATTAATTTTGACAATTTGCACGTACACAAAAGACATACACGGAGGAAAAAAGAGAAAAAGCGTATTTCTCATTTGATACGCAGTACAAATATCGAGTTGAGAGAAAAAGAAGAGCGACAACGACGAAAAGCGATAATTTGTAAAAAAAAAAGACACGATAAAACATATTGTAAAAAAATGAATCCCATGACTAGGTGATACAAAAATCATGCACATGGTTCATTCGAAACCAGTACGTTTACCTTAGACACGTGTATAGATTTATACATATATGGCTAAGAATGAAGACGAAATACAACGAAAAATCAGTTCAAAGCTTGATAAACATAAAAGGTAGATATACATGTGTGTTTACTTCTTCACATCAGTTATCATTATTGATGATGGATAAAAGTTTAAAGTTTTCTTTCAGAAAAAAATTCGAATGCAAAATCCTAAAGACTTCATTTTTTTTTTTTAAATAATAAAAATAGTTAGGAAAACAACAACATTAAAGACGTGCCAAGTAGGGTATGGTTAGAGCTAGACGGCGTAGGCTAGTCAGAATAGAATAGGCGAAAAATACTTGTCCTATGACACTCATTTTAACAATGTTTTTGCATCTAGAAGAGCTTCTCACAACACGGAAGTTTGTTTCTCTTTGTTATAAGGTGAAATGAGAGAGTACAACGCTGTTGTTTTCTCTTGCTATTGGTTTTCCTTTCCTACTTATCGTAGTGAAAAATAATAATAAATTTTACTCGAATTTAGCAGTTGTGAGAAGAAATAAAAATGTCAGAAAAAGTATCCGTTGAATGAATCTGAACAATGTGTGGTCAAGTGGTTCTTTTTTCGACATACAGCATGTTAATCTTATAAAACTTGTTGCTGTCGAATAAGTATTATTATTTATCCTATTTGTTTTATTCTTTATTTAGAAGCAATGCTGAAAATATAGATGCTTACAAAATCGTCAGCATACTATATGGCTTGGGTAAGTGTGAATTAGATATACAATTTCTTAAAAAGAATTTTCCTGTTTTGTGGAACTCACATATATTTTCGAATAAAATGGTGAGTGTAAGTTTAAAAGCGAGATTTTTGCGGCTCCCCACCGCTCCCTCCCTATTACAGACATTAATGAGCTTAAAATTATGCTAATTAGGAGCTTGACTAATTAGGCTGCTGTTTCTTCCTTTTTTAATTACAGACGGCACGAAAAAAGCAATGCTTGTCCATTGCAGACCATAGAAACTAGTCTCTGCCATTATTAAATATACGGGCTAACAATTAATATTCCATTACAGACATAAGCAAATAGGCAATGATCTAATTCCAAGGTAGATTTTTCAGATGAACTGTTTTGAATTATTTGAGTAAGCCTAAGGGATATATGTGAGTTCCACATTTAAGCCCCAACGGGGCTGCGCTAACAAGTTTTTTAATTTTAAGCAACAAAGATAATGAAAACTACTATAACTGCATTAATTGAAACACCAGTTATACGATAGTTTTAATAGTGATACTTTTAATCATGAAATTTCAGAGAAGTTCAGTTCGGTCAAGTAGAATTTTTCGTAGAGAAGATCTCTAAATTTTTATTAGCACAATCAAAGGTTATAAATTTCGGAATCAAAATATAAGAGATTGTTTCATTCAGAGTTACGAAAAGCAAAAATTCTGAACTTATCACCATTCTATATCGAAACTTTTCAGTTCGAGAATTATAGAAATAAAAATGTGTAATTCATATTGATGTGAACTCAAAAAGTTCATTCATCGAATTTACGCTTATCTATTTGATTTAATATTTGTTTCTTTTTCCCCTCAAAGTCATTTTTATTGGTGGTGTGGCTTTTTCAATATCACATGCTATTATACCAAGAGAAGAAGTTGGAAATATCAGACATCTAGCTGAGGTAATACTTGAAAAAAAACAAAAATTCTCTAAATAAAAAATTTAATATTTACATAGATTTATTTTACTTATCTTTATTGGGTATCAATACTTTGGATCGTGTTCTGTATCATCGATATAGTTCGTCATCGGCATAAATTTGAAATAAGTGCCAAAGCAATCAATAAATTGGATTTGAATCATCCTCCAGCTCATAGTGCTCATTCACCTTTGTCATCCGGTAAACAAAAAGAAGTATCACCAAATCAACATATAACTCAAACAACAGCAGTGCCTTCTTTTAATTTACAATTATTTGACGATTCGGATGAGTTTCAATCTGAAAACAACGATGATGATGAACATACTAACGAACACCATGAAGCTAATGTTGTGAAACAAAGTCATAATCGTGACGACGAAGATTATGATGATAAAAGTCTCCGCCCTCTAAGTGAAAAATCCCGATCACTAGATAATCTATCAATGAAATCATCAGCCGAAATGAGAAAACGGTATACAAGAGCTCGAAGTGTTCTAAATCGACGTCATGCATTAGATCCTGGTGGCGTACATAATTTAAGATCGTATGTACGCCATAGAAAAGATAGTATTGTACAACGTGTTATGGGCTATAATTATGATGATAATTCTACAGCCGGCGGTCTTTATATTCGTGTTGGAATAGGAAGTAAGATTTTTGGAAAAGTTGAAGAATCGAGTAAACTCTATTCATAGAAGTGTTTGTTTGATTTTAGTTTTTTGTCTTGGAACTGTCATTCATTCTGGTCTATCAATATTAAGCAATCTTGAAAATAGCTCTTGTTCAAGATGGACAGCTGTAATGGATGATTCCTCGAGATTATTATTTAGTTTTATACAATTCTTTTTCATTTTTAAACATTCAAATGTACGTATGTCGAATTGGGTACTAGAAACATATTTACTGATTTTTTTTCTGTGTTACTTTTAGTTAATTATTCGAGCACATGAAAGTCTTGCTCGTTTAGCTGTTATTCACATCGTTGTTACTAATTTATGTGTATGGTATGTTCATTTGTTTTATATTTCTACTAATCATAGAAGACATTGAGTGTCTCCAAGGGAGTTTAATGAAATCAACTAATTTCAGTTTACAGGCGATCGAAAAGAAAATTCGCTGATAATTTTCAAATCTGAAATCGATAGAAGTGATGTAGACGTATTGATACTGGTTTATGAAACCTTTTAGGTTGTTTTGGATTTTTTTGTCGTATTCTTGAGATTTTTTTTTTTCATTTTTATATTCAGTTGGAATTCAATAACCCAATCAATATTTATTAAGGCAAGAAGTCTTAAGAATTTGATATCGCTTAATTTTTTCGTACTACTAGGTAATATTTCGGCTCAACATTCTTTGCTTACTTACGATAATTATTTATGTGTAAAGCTTTTTAAAATACGATCAAATTATGAAATTTCGTTTTCGAGTGATGTCTTTTGAGAAGCTATAAAAAAAACTGTGAATCATATAAATAAGGGAGAAAACCTATGAATCACAAACATATGTTTCATTTGTGCCAACAGTAATGGCTGAGTCACTTTGATACCTGATAGAAAGCTTCAGGAAAATTCATTTGTATTTTCTACAAGATTTCAATGTTATTCAAAAACAAGTATCAAGATGATATCATGTGATCTTCGCTATCATTTTTTTTTGTCTCGTCTATGACTGATTCATCTTTATGTATCTGCGTAGATAAAAGAAAAAGTAATGGCAACGGATCAAGCGAAATATCGATTTAGTTATTCACACGCGATGACTTTCCTTTAAACTATTTGCCAAACATAATTCTGAAGAGAAGAAGAAAAAAGTTCCTAAGACTTCCAGTAGACTTATTATTTTCGTTATGCTATGTTATATTCAAAAGTAAGCAACATTTGCATACTAGGTTTCGAATGGTTGTAGTTGAAACAAAATCTCAAATAATGGAAATAGATGCTCATGAATTGGCAATAGCACAATTCGTCGGTGGTCCTCACCTAGCCAATGGTAAATCAGTCAACTATTTTCTAGAATAAAATATTCTTTTAATTTAAAAAAAACAATCATGCAAACAAAAAGGTAGCCATCAATCAATCCAGCAAACATATCGTTCAACAACAATTCCCTATAATTGTGTACAATCAATAGAAGAAGCTCGGCAAATGAATGCTTTCATTAGCGAAGGCTACATGAGACTTAAACCTCTTTTATATCCGTGTACAATTGAATTTAGCCTTATGTCTTTAACTGTAAATATTCAAAGAAATTATGTTTTTTTTTGCAGAAAACAAAAGATCTTCTTCTTGTATATTTTAGCTTTTCTATCTCATATGGGAGAATATAGGTAAAACATTTGCATATAAAATGTCTGATAAAGCATCAACGAAAAATGTTTTTATGGTTAATTGTCATGCATCAATTAAGGGCTTATTTACTGGCATGATTATATTTTCATGTACAGTAATATCAATTATTCTTTATGCTGTCTTTCGAAATAAAATTGGGGATGATCTGATTCACGCAACATCTTTCGCAAGTCATCAAGAAGCGGTTCATCACGATAGAATTCATGCTCGTGCAGCAGCAATATTAACAACAACATTATCGACACGGCACCATGCAAGTGCTCCCTCTGCACCATCAATTCACGGTCCATTTGCGTCAATATCAAAAACTCCGAAAAAAATTATATATAGCATTGCTATTGTTGAGATAGTAAATTTATGTTTGTTACTTATTTCATTGGGAGCTACATTATGGGCACTGATGAAAATTAGAAAATTACAATATAAAAGAACAACTACGCGTATGAAACTATGATTCCTATATTGATAATTTACCTGTTGTTGTTGTTGTTGTTGTTGTTATTATTCTTTAGGTTTTGACGATGTACTAATTATAGTTTCATTAACAGGAACTTATTTATATACAATTTTCAGTGCTCTAGCATTACTCAATAATAGAAATCAAGCGACATGGATTGCTCAACTTAAAATAGTTATTGTTGTTTTAGGTATTTAGTTTAATTGTGATTATCTCTAAGTTATTCTGTTATATTTCGTTTTAGAATTTATTGAAGCAACTGTTCATGCATTTTTCATTCTTGTTGCACTGCGGAAACGTCTTAATCGAATAAGCAAACATCAATATCCAGCACGTGAAATCATCACATTGCTGATAATGCTTGATCTTAGCCTATGGTTTGAAGAAACAACAACAACAACAAAACACGAAGCTAATCCATTTCAATTAGCTTTCTATCACACCATACCATGGTCAATTATAGCTGCTATTGCTACACCACTTCAGATTTTTTTTCGTTTTCATGCATCCGTATGTCTTTCACATGTTTGGGAAAACATGTATATCTTACCAGCTTACGAGCCCGTTGCACCACATGGCTTATAACGAACTTCCATCTTTTTGTTTCTTTGTTTTCCTGTCAATTACATCTTTCTCTCTTTCTCTCTCTCTCTCTCTCTATATATATATATATATATATATATATAAAACTAGTGTACTGCGTGATTGATATTCTTACTCACGATCACGATCACGATCACGAAAAATATATGCAATCACACACGATCACGATCACGCGTGAATCACGCGTGATCGTGATCGTGAATTTAGTGATCATGTAGTGCCCTAATTCAGCTATAAAAGAAAAATATTTTATTGATTGGTCGTGTCATCTATATAATATATTCTATTGGGTATAGTTAAAGGCTTCGACTTGAAAAGAAAGAATATCAACAGCAAAGTTTCGTTTGCTTTCTTTATATTCATTCTATGAAAATACTTTGACGATGTAAAAAAACCTTTAACTTGTTTTAGATTCTAGAATGTGTGCCACTGATCCTCTTAAATTCAATAAAACAGATTTAGCACGATTGATTATAGAAAAACCTATATCTATATCATATAAAAACCAAAAAAATGGAAATATACGTGACAATATTCCTCATAACTTAAATTATTTCGCATTCTTAGGTGATATTTTTATGTGCGAATGGTGGCATCCGATAGACAACAATGCCAGTTGTCATCTCTTTTATCGACTGATTGAGTTTTTGCTCTCTGCATTATCCATCTTTTCCATGGTTCTAACAGTGTGTTTTTCAGATGTTTTTTTTTGACCATCAGTTGTATTTTTCGCCTGTCGTCACCTGAAAGAATTGTAACTGTAGAGTAGTATACCATGTACCAGAATACAGCTGAGGTTGCTCGTCCGCTTCAATACAGCTATAAGATGCTACTACAATGAAAGTATAAAGCGTGCCGGTGAAATTATGACGAAGAGCTTACCTATCATATCAATACCCGAGAGACTCCAACATAGCAAAGACTTAGAAGATGTACACACTGAGCAGTTTCTGTGAAAAGCTTTGTACTGAAAATGCTTCAACATATAGTTTTGTACGTGCTACTGTGTTGAGCTGCTACTTTAAAAAACGTTTTGCTAGAGCTCAGACTTATTTCTATATTTTGTTTTTTCTGTATTTGTACGGTTCTGAACAAATTACTACATTCAGATATTGTTCATGTGCTGCATCGTTAAGTTATATCACGTAGTATATATGGTATCAATATGAGACCTAGTTGACGATCTATAAGAGAAAAATCGAAAAAAAAACTTTGTTTCGTTACTTATGTGCCACCTTGTATTTAATCAGGTTATATATTTTACTTTTTTTTATTGCTACAAGCAGCAAATGAACTGTCAGATTTTACAATTTAATGTGAACATTAACCTTTTCAATAAATATTTGAAATTTTGAACGTATATAATAGTCGTGAAATATCAACTTTTAATTTCGATCACGATCACGCAGTACATTAGCTATACGACAACGGTAGAAAACATCTTCTATTGCAACAACTTGATTGTTTCGTTCATGTACTCTTGCAATATACTTTTCACACACAGTTCTTATACTATGGCTTGACATCTATAAGGTTGGAAAACGCTCCATAATAGTTGTCTCTTATCGTGAGATACAGTTTCAATAGGTAGTTGTGGCCGAAATCGTTTGAATTTTGGACTACCATCCTACGCATTTTATACTTCTACTCGTATACTGTAGAATTACACTACTATTCATATGAATAGTTATTAAGATGATGCATTAATCATTTTGTTTTGAATTTACTCAGTAGTTGGAAAATGTTACAATTTATTGCAACTGCTGCGTTAACATCCTAAAATAGAAAGAGTAACTGGAACATTGACTTGATAGTGTTTGATTAATTTTGCATTTTTTCCCCAAAAAAAGACGTTAACTTAATTAATTCCATTCAATTTCAGAGTATATTTTTAGAAAATTTTCAACAAAAGACGACAACTGCTAGTCTAATAAATTGCATTATCGAAATAAATGTTAAATTGAAGTCATAGATTTTCGAATTATACGAGTATGATAATGATAACAAAGTGTGCAAATGAAAAATAAAATTAATAAAATTAAAATAGCTATTATAAAAATTAAAATATATGTTATTAAATTCGAAGTTTTTGTTATAATTATTAAAGCTGATAAAAATTTATTATAATGTTCTTCCATTAATAGATGATAATTATTAAATTCTTTTGTTGATTGAATGGATTGATGTTGATCAATAGATAAAACAGCATTAAAATCAGGTATAGGAGTTATATTATCATCAAAAATTTCTATCTGAACTTGATGATTCGGCTCAATTGGTATTGATCTAGAAGAAAAATATTTTTGTTTTCTTTAAAGAAATGAGAAGTTTCTTTATCTGAAATACAAACTTTGGAAAAAAATTACAATAGCTTGACTGAATATAAAGAGTTTTCGATTCGATTGAATTACAATTATCATGAATAATATCACTCCACAATAAATTTTCATTGATATAAAACAAACATTGATTAATTTCAATTAAAATTTCAACTTTTTCGTTCGACACAAATTCAAGTGATTCAAATGGAATATAAAACGCATTGATTATAATAAAACGATTTGTATGGTTCATTATTTCTGATTTATAATCTTTTATTTGAATTTTTTCATTGAGTTTTATCGAAATATTCAATTGTTGAATATTAATTGTCCATAGCCATAGATTATATTGATATAAATCAATCATAATCCATACTAAACGCGATTTTAAACGACAAATAAATGTAAAATCAACATCAACCGGCAGAATATCGAATGATAATGATGGATACGGACATTGATACGGTACTAATGGTTGATCATCAATGGGAGGATTAATTATTCGAGTATTTTGTGGACAATGAATATGCCATTTAGTATTATGATTTACAATACCAATATGATATTCTTCATTTGCATTGATAAAAGTAAATAATAATAATAGAAGATGAAGATATGAAAAAATCATTTAAGCAAATTTGAAAATGTTTTGTTTAATTTCCAGCTGAAAATTGAAGACAACTAAATATAAGAATATTTTTTCTTTTCAAATGACGAAAATATTCGATATTTCAGGAGATTCTTAATACATATATGTATATCAAGAAAATTTTCATTCAACTGAACTGTAGAACGGTCGATGGTGTCTGCTCGTCTTTTTTTCTTATTAATAGATCTTGTCAACTTGTTATTAGAAAGTATAGACTGAATGTCATGGTTCATGATCATTACATTTCATTTTCGTTATCTTTTCTCGTTAATATGACTTTGTACTTGTTCTTAATCTTGATAAATACATGAACTTCTTTTTTTTGTTCTCATGTATGCACGATTCAGGAGAATATCAAAACAATGATCATATTCAATAGAAGTGATGAAATAGCTCAATTAGCATCATGATTGAAAGTGTGAATTTAGTTCTACGTCTTTACTTTGCCCTATTGGTAGTGTCAATATATATATATATATATATATATATATATATCGTTAACAATTCTTGTCTTAGAACTATAGAACATGATCAATCAATCTTCTAAACATAAAGAAATTTTGTATGCTATTAATTTTTTTACGAGATTTATATTTCTAAATGCTCGTCATAAGAGAAAAAGAATCTAGTTACTAGGATACTTTGAGATATTCACTTACTCGTACAGTCTATTTGTTGGACATTATTTCTCTATTAAAAACAGCATAAAACGAACTATACACGTATACAGAATCATAGATGTTTACAATACATAGTTTACTGTTCAATCAAATATTACGATGAATAATAACGACAGAACACAGATAATGATAATCGACAATTAACTTATCAAATACTTGCCAATATCCATTGATAATATTATAGAATCTAACAAAAAATGACAAGAGAATATACGTATGTTAATAGTTCAGAAAAAAAATATGCGAAGGTTCGCTATTCATTAATATTTCTCTATAAGACAGATAGATAAGAGAAAAACATGATTGCATTCATATCTGTAAGTGAACAAATACCAAGTTATTGATCAATAGAAAAGAAAGAATTTCATCTATAATAGATTGAAATAATAAATAGCTAACATACTTTTGATCAATGCTGAAAGTGATGAAACATTTCCTATAGTACACTTGGAGTTTCATTTGCAGATTCGATAGAATAGGGAGAGAGAGAGAGAAGGTTATTTAATGACGATAGTGCAATATTATGTTTTCTTAAAACTCTCATTCTTTTATGCATCTAAAAAAAATGTACGATGATGTGAAATTTATGTCTTAAAGTATATGCTATTGCTAAATAACATTGTAATGGGAGAAACTGCTTCTTCTACTCGAATAATAAGTTTAATTATCTTACTTACGTTAAATATAGTTTAATATCGTCTTAGTGAGTAAGATATTAGTGTATGGTTAGTCTAGAAAAAATTGTTTTTCTTATTTTTACATTGATTTTAATAAGTAGAGAAAAGAAGAATGCATGTTGAATTGGCACAGTTATTGTTATGTTTCAACGAGAGAAAATTTCAGTGTAATTTATCAATTGTTTTTTAATGAAAATCGTTATATAATGTAAATGTCTATTCAACCATTATATGAAAGTTCTTTAGGAAATGATCGATACTGATGAATATGTCTTGATAAAAACGAACGAATCATGATTGTGAAAGTTTTCTATGACAAAATATCGATTTTTGGACTTGATCTATTAGTGAAATATTATCGATTAGAGGAAATGTCTTTCATACGATTATTTTAAATACGTAGTATGTTTAAGTTGTTTTCAAAATAGCCGTGTGATTTTACTCTACAGAATAATGGAAGTACTATCTACGAAGGAAAAGCTTTAGTCGATACCTACCGTTTAAATTTCTATGAGATTTAGAATGTTGTTAAGGTGAAAAAAACAAAAATCGTGGGCAGCTTGCATCCATGAGTTTTTAGAACTGGCCGATCATTGCTTTGCTGAATATTTTATTCAAGTTCAGATATATCCTAAAAAATCTATATTTCTATAAAAGATTGCGTCAAAAACAGTCTGAATCAGCAATTGAGTGGGGTAATCATTTCAGTCGACACGAATATTTTCTAGTCGAAATTTTACCATACCAAAGAATATTATCCAACACAAAACAATGTATCACAATTCTATTTTGCAATTATTCCATACATACCTCATTCTGTTTCAACAAAATCATGAAATAGTAATCATTTATTTTTAAACGTTTAAAATAATCAGTATTTAGGTTGTTGCTAATCTTAGTAATTGAAAATCCCAGGTACATTTTTCTAAAAACTACGCACCATAGATTTGCCGAAAAGCTACCTTACTGTGTAATATCTTCAAATAAAAAGAACAAATTGATATGCTATCAGAGTGTTGAAATCATTTCAATTGCTAAATGAAATCAAGTTATTGACTTTTACAAGTTATTGTTTTGAATAAGTTTTGATTTTACTATTCTCGTTTAACCACAGAAATGAAGAAAAATTTGTCTAATACTACTGAATATATGATGTCTTTTCAGAGTGGAAAAAAATATTTTCGTATAGGTAGTCAATGAATAAAATCTTACAGAATTGAGTTGTAGTTTAGTTTCATTTAAAAATGTCACTTCATATTGTATTCAACTCGATATATATTTGATTAGAATCATATTCAGGAATGACAAATTTGAATAAGTTCCAACATATTTAATAAATAAAAAAGCGAAGTTCAAAATCTATCATCTATATACGAAGGACATCTTTAAAAATATAGTTTTTGTTTTCAGTCATCGATTGATTCTACAAAAACAGTCACAACTCATTCAATCAAGACAAATGTTTTAAATGTTCAAGTGAATAAGAACATTTACAATTGTAGCTCGTTGTTTTTTTCTCCTTCAAAAGTTCTAGTGAAGGTTTAAAAATACATATTATCATAGGAATGTAATAGTTTGTCGTGCTTTAGTTCTTTAATCATCCAGCTCTATATAAAGCTTAACTAAGCCGTGTTGATTAGCTATTGTGTCTGACGTAATTTTTTGTCACATTTCGTTTTGCTACGTAAGCGAATTGAAGGATAAGTTGAATGGTAGGTAACCGAAAGGTAAAGAACACACACATCACACAAGAAAATGTTAGCTGTCTCGTTTCTTTTCTTTTTTTTTATGAGAGAAAAAGGAAGTATAATAATGTGTAACATTACATACAGTCGCTTTTTTCTGCTCTCTCTCTCTCTCTCTCTCTCTAATGAGTAGACAAGAAAGAAACACACGTTATTAGTAAAAAAATATTCTTTTTTTGGCCTTCAGCCTATTTGAATTAAGAATACAAGATTTACCGATAGATTAATTCAAATAGTTTCTTATGGAGAGAAATCCCAAATTTTTTCCTATTCTTCTATCAACAGTTTTGATAATCGGTACAATTACGATTTATCAATCGTTTCAATTTATCAATCCTGTGTCTGGTAAAAATAAATAGATTAGATTTCATTTTTTTTCACTTCGGAAAATTTTTTATAACACATATTCTAGGTGTACCGAATAATCGTGTTCGTGTTGAATTTTTTGTTATGTCAAAATGTCCAGATGCGATGAAATGTGAAACATTATTTCTTCCAAGTTTATTAAAACTTTCATCGATTGTGAATTTTACTGTTTCATTTATTGCTGGAGAGACACAATTGAATGAATTTTCTTGTATGCATGGTACCGATGAATGTTTAGGAAATAAACAACAATTATGTATACAAAATATGTATTCACAAGCAGTATTTATTAAATATCTTCAATGTCAATCAAAACATTTTTATACGATTCCACATACTGGTGAACAATGCGCAAAAACAACTTCCGAAAATATCATCCAGTGGTCTGATGTGCAATCATGCGTAAATTCAAATAGAGCCAATCAATTATTTCATAAGTCACTGGAACGAACACGTTCAATGTCAGTTAAAAAATCATGCACAATTTATTTAAATGAACAATTTTGGTGTATGCATGATGGGTTTTGGTCAAATTGTGGCGAAGGTCGTGATGAAATGAGTTTTATTCGAGCTATTTGCTCGAGATATAATGGAAAAAATAAACCCATAGAATGTGCAAATTTTATTTAGTTGCTTCATCAGCATGCTTTTTATTAGAAAGAATAGAATTTAAAAAGAAAATAAATAGTGACCATTGTCATTGTTATATAGATTGTCTAGTGACATGCAATATCACAATAAATGCTGGAAAGAAATGCGAGTAAATAAGGAATTTTTATTTTAAGTAGTTTATCTTTGAGTGACATACTCGAGTTTGAAATGTAAGAGATTGGATTAGTCCAATTTAAATACTTCATTTTTCTGAGTCGTTTAGATGATTTAAAAATCACTTCAAACAAAAAATTTCGATGTCTACTATATTTTGGTAAAAATTAAGGAATGCCATTGCCATCATTCGGTCGTTATTTATAGGTTACAAATCATAAATTTGATATGTATTTTTCTATAAAAGTCTCCTATTTATATTTATTTCTAAGAACTAAAGATAGAGCAACAGTTATATTCTCACAAATAAATCATTTGATAAATAGAAAAACAACACTATAACTAATGTACATCCGAAAGTAAGTTATGATTGGTGTTAACTCAGTTAGTGATGATTCAAAATATTATTTTGGTCTATAGTGTGAAGTTGCTTGAATACGAGGTAAGCAATAATGATAATGATTTTTTGGTGGTAATTGTAACGATCTATTCTAGAAGTTACAAACCCTCGAATGAAATAAACGTCAAGGGCACTATCTTGTTAGTTTCTCATCCGTACTCTTATCTAGTTCTCTTTCTCACGACGCAAGAGTACTAAGGATTTCGTCCTTGGCTCGCGCCTAGCACCAGATGGAGTACGCAACATCACCGTTGTAGTATTTATCCCACCATCAGCACGTTAGCATAGCACCAATACGTACGCCTTATCTTATACACTTTCTTGTTTTATTGTATTTACGGTATTTCTCAAGGTCTTTAAATACTAGAAAATAGTATATAAGGAACGAGAGCAATACAGGAGGGCACGATTTTTGATATTGAAATAAAATATACACTCAACACCAAACATAACAATATCCATAACATCAGAAATCGTTACAGTAATAAATCGACAGTTTTATATGAAGTTTTACAAAATCCTGGAATTTTCGACCTGGTCATAATTCATGAGATGTTTTTAATGAATTATATGTAAGGTCCGGAGACCAAAATCGAATCGAATCCGAATGTAACTTCAAAACTGCCGAACCCAGAAGATTCATTCCGACCTACGTATCTTCCAAGAAACAGTCGGATCCGGTATCGGATCACACCGGAATCCGACGAGTTCCACAGTCAAACCGGCCGGAACCGATCCGCATTACTCCGGATTCCTAACTAACTGATTCCGACCCGGATTACGCGGAAAATGATCCGATCGGTTCCTGTCGAAATCGATGATCGGAACTTTCAGGAAATGATCGGATCCGATCATAGACAAACGCCGGAACAGAGAGACTTCCTGCGACATTCCACCGGATTCCGTCGGACTCCTATGCAGCTCAACCAAGATTCATCTGGATTATA